ATGAGGTGCAAGTTTGTGTTGTTTGTGAATTGTGTCAAGCTGATGAGTGCACCCTAAAATAATCGGCACCACACTGATGACGTCCCAATATTAATTATGGTCTGTATGTAAGGTCACACAAGATATATTTCATTTGAACACAATTTTGTGTATGTTTTTCACTTGATAATCATTCAAATATGAATGACAATTTCTATTTGTGAACAGTTGTTAATATAGTATATATGGATTATTTGCTTCCTGTTTGGAATTAATGAATCAAAAGTTTAATGATGTACTTGTTTGTTTGTTAATCAAGGACATTCCTGATAATAAAATATCAGAAAACTTGGAAAACCACCTTCACCATCATGCTGGTATAGATTTAGAGAACATATATTTCTCTTTTTTTTCATTCAGAAAAATACCTCTCTTTTTTTTCTTTTCTTGTTTTTGACGGATTGTAATACATTGAAGTGTGTACATGGTTCACATTGTAAAATTTATCCAATTTCACATTGTAAAATTTATCCAATTTCACATGACACTGTTTGAAAAAGATTTTAACCACACTAAGATTAATTGTTTATAAGAAAAACATTAGAAAATGTAATTGAGCTAATTATTTAGTAAGTGGGCATAAACATGCTTGTTTGCATTATTGGGTGATACATATGTATCAGTTTCCTCAATTTCTTCAGTGTAGCAACACAATGTGCTGTATGTTGTTCGAGTGCTATTTTTATTAACCTTTTCTGTAAGCAATACGCAACATAAACTTAGAATCATTCCCATAACTGTTTATCTTTGACTCCAGTCTCATTCACAGCTGCACCCATTCACATTGTTGATAGATTGATTTAGAAAGCGACGTTGCACAGTAACAGGAGACATTCACAAGTCAAGATATTGCAGTATCAACACTAGCATAATGAATTAGGTAGCATGCTAAGTCTCTGAAAGGAAGTAATGAAAATATGTCAATTACTGATGATAATTAAACATAGATTATTGGGCTTTCATCGAATGCATTTACAACGTATTGGTTAATATGGTTTGATCTGCTTAAAATTCTCATTCACTGGACAAAACATCAAATATCTTGTCAAATGTCACAATTTTACGTACTGTACATTCACTTACATGATAATAGCAGTTAAAGAACCAAATATTATGTTTGTTTACTTGTTATTGCATGATTTTGTTAAAATTGGTTATTAATATCTGAGTGTTGTATATATGTTATGTGTGAAGAAGTGTTCAAGTGTGTTTAACATTGCTCGCCAGCAGGAACAACATTAGTAATTATCGATATCCCAGGAAATGGTTTTGCTATTTGTTTGGTAGTTGTATTGTACCACCATTATGTTCTTTGAATTGGTGCACTGTACTGGCAGCATAGGTGTTCTAAATTCCTTGTACGTTCTGTATGGTGAACAGTACTGCCACTCCACACATGCATGTATATATGTATATAGTAATATATGGGGACAAGTTAACATTACTATATTATGTTGTGTGAAATTTGGGAGGCTGTGGGTTCAAACTGAGTGAGACTTTGAATGAAGTTTGGTGTCTTTTCATGTCTTGGACGATGGCTTTGGACAATTTATTCAAAACCAGAACACCGTATGAAACAGGTTGGATGGATGGCTCTATATTAATACTGGAGTGGTGTCATTACTGATGTTTGATATTCATCAAAAGTATATACTAGTATTAACAGTATGTGGTTGTACTGGTGCATTTTTCTGGTCTGTTAGACAGGGACCTGTGTTTCATTGTACATGATTACTGGAAGTTTGTTAAAGGCCTACCTCCTTTCCATGTGGTGTAAGCATCAGCCTCATCCATACAATATATGATTTCATCTCTCTCATGTGTCTGTATTTTATTTTAATTATCAAGAAGCTAACATCTTAATCTTACACCATACTTTACATATTTTGACTCTTTATCCAGGATAACTTGAGTTATTCTTGTCCATAGGAATTGTTTATGTATTTAACACTGAACTCAACAATCTTCTAGATCTATGACAGTGGCCTGCAGATGATCGAGTCTGTGCATAACAATCAAGTGACAGTGAGCAATCCATGCCATGAGGGTTCTCTGACCACGTCTCACAATCAGCATAAGTTGTTGTGGACCTGTTCCAACCCAAAGTCCAAATGGTGGTCAAATATGAAGAAAAGCATTGATTCAGCTTTTACACAATAACAAACAATATCTAAAATGATTCAACTTTTAATACAAAGATCAAATTGAAAACAAGTTTGTCTTGGAAAAATAATAAAAGTCTCCTGGACAAGTAATGTCAAGATTGACCAAGACAGTACAATATATAAAATAAACCTGGTCCTGTGAGATATACAAACATCTTGTGCAATATTGGCACAAAATCATGCAAAATAAATGCAGGTATTCATATAGAATGTAAATTTCATCAACTCCTTCAAACAATGCAAATATCATGGCACAATGATTTGAAGTAGTGCTCAAGATGCAAAGATCTAATATTTGATCATTTTTCCTCAAACTATTGACATATATATATTGTTTTTTTCAGAAATGTAATGTACTTTGGGGAATGGTTATGATATGGAACCATACACAAAATGTTAATCACAGAATATTTATCACAAAAAGAACATTTTGTCCTTATTTTTCACATTATTTTAATACAATTCCCCTTGTATAGTCTCTGTTTCAGAGATTTGTTTAAAATGATATGGCTTGCTCACGGGGTGAGAGGACATATGTCCACATGTATCCCTTTTATATCCTTCATATCTGCATTTGGGATAATTAGAAGAAAACAGAGATCTTATCTTTGGCTTTTGGTCAGTGAAAGTAAGAATCACTGAAGACTGGAATGTTTGAGAGATTCAATCAGGAATGTCTATCTTCTGGGAAGGTATATCTATACATTTCAAATAATTACTTGCTTTACAGAAAACCAGGTCACTTTTTAAAAATTAATTTTAAAAACCCTATTGTGGGGAATATTGTGTCTTATAATCTAATTACATTTCATATATGTTACACAAACATTGTAATGCTTTGCTTTCTCAAACTCACTCCTTCATTAGCAAAATGGTAAAATGTTCCCTAAACCTATGAAAATAGTCACAATGCAGTTATATAAATGTAGTCAAAGATTCTTTTTTTCTGTTTTTCCCCTTTTCTGCCATCATGTATTTTGGAAAATAAACCATAATTTACAGATAATGATCTGAACATACACATCTGAATTACTGAGTTAAGTCTCTTCTACATTATAGCAGCTCAACAAGCCACATAGAGGTAACCTTGAAAAAAGTGTTTAAATATGGAAAAAAGCCAACATTACCTGGCCTTGAGCATGCACTAGTTGCCTGGATATGTGTGCTATATAAATATCCTATAATAATAATAATGTATGGGCGATGTTTTATTGTGATGCAATTATGCCTTCAAGACCATATATTAGTTTCCCATATGAAAAGTCCATAGAAGCAGAGTTCAAATATTGACACACACTGTCATAGGGTTCATGACATCTTTACACCCTTAGAATGACATTTGTACAAATGAAATAACTATTTGAAGGAGTTGATGAAAATGGACTGACACTGGTTAACAAGAGTTGCTATAAAATTAGTTGAACTCGCTCAAATAACAACACTGACACTTGTTAAATATTCTGTTAATAACGAGAGTGACAACACTCCATGTCCATTGTGTTCTCAAATGTAACAATTTTTCTCTTCCAATGACGAAGATTTCACATTACCATTGATATAGTGTGTTTGAAGGTTAATTCAATCTAAACAAAATCAGATCTATTACCAACAGACAATACCTAACTTAGACGACCTGAGGGCACCCCCTTATGATGTCACGTGTGAACTTTCTGATCAACCAATTAGAGCTAAGGCTTCTAAATATAAATGCAAAACAGCATATACCATTTCTTAATCTTGAAAATGAGCTTTAGCATTTCAATAGCTGTAATTTTTTTGATGAGGTCTAAAGCAATAATTCATTCATTCATTTATTGAAGGTGTCCTTCGATCTTTATGTCAAGAGGTACTGTGCCGAGATAAATGATCTGAACTTAATGACATTAAAGCTTAATTCTAATTGGCATGGCAGTACTTATACTGTGCAAACAAAATTAAGACACTAATAGTCTGAGGTAGCATCAATTTGGATGGTTAAGAATCTGCCCATAGTTTAAAGATGGAATACTCCCATTCCTAATAAATCATCAGTCCAGCACCACATCTGATCAATCCATTTGGTTAAACCTCAATATCTCAAAACTGTAGAGATCTACAAAACACTCTGACAACTGCCAAAAATCTGTATAACCAGAAACCCCAAACAAAACCAAAACAGAATGGGGGTGTGTGTGTGTAGAAAATTTACTGCGTGACAAAGTCTTAATGTGGCAGGTATAGACCTTTCAATATAGTGGCTGTATTTAAAATCAAATTCAAACCTCTTGAACAAACTAAGTTTTACTTGTCAAGTGTTACATTTTAAGTGAACTTGAGAGCATAGTAACATTTGAAATTAAATATCAGCAAAAATGGAACATGTTCAGTCCCACAACAAAGTACACATGTACCAATTTATTTAACGAGTAATGGACATTAATAGCTTTTTCAATGTCAATACTGAAAATATTATTTTAGTGTCATCACTGTTAGAAACAAGCACGTTAACTTTTAGCTCCATTGGTTACGATGTTTCTGATGAGATATTTAAGTCTCAAGGTAGACCAGCCGGCCATGACATAAGCTCAATTGACTTTTCATGAGGCATATTAGAAAAGGAAGCATGAATGTTTTGTATGACTATGCAAATATTATTTCTTTCAGAAGGAAACATGGAACATCATCTTATTTGCTGATCATAAGATAACAGATCACAATCAAAAGCTAAATTTACCTGAAATTAACATTAAAAATAAAATTATATAGAAGAGAAAGTATGTGTGTAATGGTTTTACATACGCTAACTGGTTGATGTTGGTTATCTTGGCTCAGGAATCTTTAATGATAGAAATTGGGTTACTGGGGGTAAACAGCCCCACCCTAAAACTTGACAAATGAATGAGACAATCCCTACATTACAGTGTTTGAGACAGAGAGGTTTGACTGCATGTTCGATGTGTAGATACTTTATTGACCAATCAATGGGCCAAATAACTACTAAAATGGTCCATAGTGGATGGTATGTGGACTTCTAAGTTAATGAAATGCATTCTAGAGTAGATGTCCATTTCATAAATTCATAAGTGAAAAGCTAACAGTTACCCATTGTGTAACAAGCTATGCATGTGCAACACACAATACTGATTTGAAGGACTCCATACTCTGATCAGTGGAATGAATAAAACAAAGAAAAGATTGTAGAGTATTCAAGTGAGTGTTCAAGATTGTGTTACCTTGATGTCCAAGGTTAACCAGTATCAAGCCCTAGTTTGACACTACAAGTAGAAATGGGTATATTTATCAACGTGTAAATAATACTGTCTTACTTTGGCACGATCACAGACAAGTCAAGATGAAAAAAGTAAACAACAAAATGTCTCACAATTAAATGTACACTTGTAGACAATGGAAGTGGACTGTGTCTTAGTTAGCGTCTCCCATAAGCACTAAAACAAACACTCAATATGTACAAAAAACCAATGTGATTTGATGTAAATATCACTGGTAGAATAATCATAGAGAAAAATGATAAATCAGTAATTTGCAAAGTAATAAGTAAATATTTTCACAACTTCAAAAGTTTAAACATTGAAAATGGTAATGTATAACTGTAACAAATAGGAATTTGGGGTAAACAGTAAAGAATATGTGTAAATGTTTGTCCCTATTTTCAGAACATTATGTCACTGGATTTGGCAGGTAATATCGTAGAGAGGCACTATTCACATGAATACTTTGACAAAGACTACTGTCTCAGTAAACGATGATCACAGAACAAGGCAACAAGATTAAATTACTTGGAGACAGACACATAAAGAAATTCTGAAGATAAGCATCATGACTGAACACATAATCTGGAGTGTTCAAGAAATCGCTTGTAACACTGTAATACATCAACTTTGAAAATCCGGTGGATCAACCTTGATCTTTAACTAATGCAGAATATGAACATTTCAATACAGGAGCAAGAAACAACTTCACCTCCTTTTAAGAATGGATGATTTTGACAAAAGAAAATCATCATTCTACTGTATGTCTGAAGTGTTACAAGATCAAATTACATTCTACATTATGCCGATGTTCCACATTAGAGGAGTCAAATGCTAAATGAAACAAGCACAATAACATACGATCAAGGAGTATTTGAGTATTTCATATGAGATTCTGGATCTTCTAAGAGCACAACCTCAACCCTATGGTATTATTGCCAGTGAAGTAATTCACTGCATTCTGTTATCTAGTTCTGCAAGGAACAGAAATATCTTTAATGCTGACCATTGAGAATGAAAGGGATTAGAAGTTGAGTAATACCAAATTAAGCACTTCTATCGGAAGTTGAGTAATGTCAAGTTAAGCACTTCTATATTAAACATCAGTATTAACAACACATCCTATCAAGAAAAGAATCCACAAACTTGGAGTCCACCAATAGGTTTCCATACATACTGAAGAGATCAGTATGAGAATCTCTCACTGCTCTGAGAAGAAGTAACGAGTAGACTGGCATTTTCCCCATACTCAGGTAGTTCTCAAAATATGGAGTAACTTCACTTTTCTGAGAAAAGAAACTTGATAATGAACATTGGTGTGATAGAAGAAGCTGCTTATTGGATAATTTACTAATTTCATTGCAATGAACCTAAGAAATATATTTGTATTATCATGTGAAACAAAATCGATCATTACTCACAAAGAAAAGCAAACTATGAGAATGTTTACATGGAATTTGCAAACCTGCATTTGCTTCATGTTATTTGCTAAAATGTTCGCCATACTGAATGTTACAGTGTACATTCAAGTTCTAAAACATAAATTAGTACCAGAAGCTAAACCATTTCAGTACAAACAAGTCTTAGCATGGATCAACACCATAAACCAGACATTTTTACTTTACGAAAGAACTAATGACGGCCACAGATTAATACAACATCAAAATATATGACACCACAATCAATCAATTTCCAACAAAGTATATTAGCACATCAATTAAATAGTTCGATCAGTCCACAAAATTGCATCAACGGAAGTAATAAGGCATGAAAATAGATGATATGTTTTGTTTTGTTTTCTGAACTGAGTGTATATAAATACTGAAGAAAAATCACGCCCTACTTGAAATTTGATATGGTGTTTGTAAGTTCACATATAAACGATATTCTTATTGGAACATGTGCTGATACTTGTAATAGTTTGTTGTGTAAAATGTGTATGCATGTAACTTGTTAACAAGAACTTTGAGACAATTCCATCTGTACCACAAAACATTTTGAAAACTAAGGTAGGACACTGTAACCATAAACACTCATGTCACTGTAAAGTGAAACTAATTTACTTTTGCTGATATCTTTCGCGGGTACAAAGCTTACATATATAAATAGTTAGAACACATATTTTGATTAGGTGTATGTTAAGAAGTTTTACCATTCTCCACTTAGACAAGATATATAAAAGATAAAATATTGTAAATGATTTGAGCATAGTATTCGTTGTAAATTGGCATAAGTATCATTGAGGAACACAACTGTATTGCCAGTAAGGCTGCACTTGTTTGAACAAAATTTACATCATTCTGCAAAAATTAATCTAAATGTACATGTTTTGAAAGCTGCTACAATTCTAAACAGAGTTATGTGCATTTTCTCATCCAACTGTCTCAAAAAGAGCCCTTTATCGTCCTGTTCAGGAAAAAACGCTACATGTGATGCCCCAAAATATTATTCAACTAATATTCAGACAATACAAACTGAGGTTCACTTTAAAGCAAATAAAATCCTACCAATTTAAATACATAGAACAAACCAAGAGCTATGTATCGTCAAGGAACAGGAAACAGTTGTCATGAAAAAAAACAACTCTTTCAACAAATAGTCTATGCATCCCTCCTACCCAATGCAAGTAACCAGCCCTCTAATGTCAGGATGGATATTAAGTAGACAATCACCAACAGAAATACAACATCTATGAACCCGTCATTGCAGACGCTGCTCTGCATTCATTGGGACTCCTCATTGAGTCTTCTTGATGTCTTGGGCAAAAAGAAATATGTGTTTCCTGACCAACGGACCAAATCTAGAGCCCCATACCAATTACCGAATTGGTGCTGTCCATATTATATATTTTTGGATTGGGAGAAATGGGAAACACATTTTTGTTCTTGCCTTATAATATATCCAACAGGAAGACAATTTTTTGATTGCTTTGCTGGACAAACATAAGATTCAACCCTGATTCAGTTGTCTTAAGTAAGGCAAAGATGTATTTGACATTGATTCATACATATGATTCTGTCAAAAGGGTGTTCATGAGTTCATAATATGTGACTCTAATCGATCACAGATATATTTATCAGGGTCAAGTTCAGCAAAGCATTTCAGATTGTGTATATTAATGTATATGATTAATGCACTTAAAAAGAGAAGCACATTTTAAAAAAGTCATGCTAAAACTGCTAAAAGCATCATTCACTTTCATGAATCATTTTCAGCTTCAGTTTCAAAAACCCTGTTCAACACAAATAACCTGTTCATAAACATGAAAAACAAACCAAAAAAGCACCAACATTTCTTACAAGCAGAACAAAAGCGTTCCATATTACGAAAACATTTTTTTCGTTTTTTCCAAAGCATTAAGTACTTTAGCAATATTTGCATCAAGTGCTGCTATGCCCTCTCTGAAAGCCTTGTCATCAACTGTCGACAGTGATGTAGTTGATGTGACTGCTGACACCACAGATCGAACATCCTCTTCAATAGTACTCAGACTAAGATCTAACTCTGTGCCTTTGAAAGCTTCACTCTGTAATGAAGAAGATTCTTGTGGGGCTACCTGACTGGGAGGGATGGGCTTGGAGGCCCCAGGGGTACCCTCTGTGTCAAGCCCACTGTCACTTGTATCAAAGTTAGGTTGTGGCAGTTTCATCACCTGTCTGCCACTCCCTGTGCTAGACTTAATTGGATCTCTGATTTCCGACCTTTACTTGAACAGTTCCTCAGCAACATCTCAGTCACAGACCCCAGGTCACTCTTCGGGGAGGAATTGAATGGAGACATGTAACTCTGGAATCCTTTCTCAAGAGCTACAATGTCTTCAGTCTTTGGGGTCTCCTTACGTAGTAGTTTGTTGTGTTGATGTAGGGCTTCTTTACTGAGAGGTGAAACTTTACTTTTCCTTGGAGATGACACAGGATTGTTGTCAAACTTGAGGTTTTTCTTAGCACTTGCCACAGTTTCCTTATTTGCAGTCGGCTGTCCCGGATCAGACATAACACTCTTGGCAGGACTAAAACAACCAACAAATGACCTTTTTCAATATTCTAATGATAATGAAGCCATAATTAGTATAACAGGTAGGTAGTTATTGTGAAACTGAACTTCTTTCTACCTAGCAAAATAGTAAAAACATCATGCTAAATGCAAATCTCAGTCTCATTAAAATTAAAAATCATGCTCGCTCCTGATACACAAACATCGGGTGGACAATTAATAAACCAATGACATCACAAACAAAAAAATCAACATTAGCCACAGAAAAACAGCTTTCTGCTGTTAGTGTATAATGCTCCTTTCAAACTGATAACTTCCATTTCAGACTACACTTTGAAAAAGTATTTTGACTAAGGTCTCAATTCAAACTTTAACCCATTCAACTTCGTAGGCCGGAAAACCGTGCTTGAGAATATTTCGCTCATATGACGATGGGCATGCGTGTGTATGTGTATGTGAGGCTGCATGTACTAGGCCAGACTGAAGCTGGTTTATAGTGCTAGCCCACTGAGAGACCATGCCGCAGTGAAGCATGAATACCCCATTCAGACACATTATACTGACTCTGAGCCGACCAGTCCTTGTTGTACCCATTAATGCCGAGCGCCAGGCAGGGACCAACAAGTACCATATTTTAACGTCTTTTGGTATGACGCGGTCAGGGATCAAACCCGCGACCTTCCGCTCTCCAGGTGGACCGGCCAGGCAGTAGTCGCATCAAAATGATCTATAATTTTAGGAACCTAACTAACATATGATTCTCTGATCAATGTCTGAAAACACTTATTAAATTTCAAATGACCATATATTATCGACAGGATTAGAATTATAAACTATTTTTCGCAATGTTAGTGAAAAAAACAATTCTCGGACACATGCTTCGGCAAGGGTCCACAGCAAAGTTGTCAAAGAGCAAAGTATCGATGTTTCTAGAAAATAATTAAACAAACTGAATAAACTGAAGAATAAACTCCACAACTGTACTCATAAACTGAAGAATAAACTTACTATTTCCATTTTTTTGAGCAATCATGTAATGTAATTCAAGTGACATCATAGCTTTTATCGCCTCGAACTTCACGCTCGGACACGATGTTTAATGCTAAAATATATGCATGGAGCATTTTTGTCACAGGTCATAACCTAGCACAATAAGTGCACTAAGTTCCATAATATAAATATAGGTGGTGATTTATTGTGTAACACGTTCAGAATAGCGTGATTTTCCCAAGACTTTCGTCTGAATCATTAGTTTTCGTTTACGAGGATGGTATCCATTGCTGTAATATGATTGGCTGCCTTAGGTCACGTGTACGATTTTGACCAATCACAATCCTTATATCAGACTGTGGCAAAAAAGCGTCATTAGAAACCAATTTTTATCTAATAAAATCGCTTCTTACCACTGTGAAAATACTCTTGGCAAGGGTACAGTGATATTGTTGATGTTCAGAGCTTTCGAACGATACCCGCCATCAAACGAAATTGCCTAACATGTTATTCATACGAAGCTTAAAAACCGAGGTATTTCCCGCTGTTATATCATGTTACCAAGTGGAAAGTCACTGATATCGGGAAATAGACGACCATATAAATTATTTGAGAAATCTGTTTTAAAATAATTTTCCGATTCCGTAAAAATGTAATTTTCTGACTAAAATTGATATTTTATACTTATCCTGACTCATGCTAATTATGCTTGTCTCCTTCCTCTTGCGAATGATAGTGGAACACTTGAAATCCCTTGAAGTTCCCTTTAAAAAAGCGGACGTAAAATCATTCACCCAAGAGTAGCGTCCCTTTCCTCCATTTGGCGCCCAAATGGTCACATGATCGGCCATATTTGTCACTCTCTCCGTATGTAAGCCCGACACAGGGGTGGAAATTAACCCATTGCCCGACGTCCGAGTCCAGTGTTTTTTTCAGTCGGGCAAGCACATTTGTATATCACGCTGTACCGGTGTCCGGTTGACATTCCAATGTTAATTATGTTGCTTATATAAAAAAATCACCAAACAAATCGGCCGGTATAGCGGAAAAATTATCAGGGCAAGTGATTTTACATGTGCCACTGTACTGGAGTACACTAGCAATTTTAAAGTTATTTCCACCCCTGCCGACACACGGATTTACATGGAAATCCAGAGTGCCATAAGAGGGGAGGTTGGGAGGGCTAACCTCATAAGTATAAAATATCAATTTTAGTCAGAAAATTACATATTTTTCCTTATCCGACTCATGCTAATTATGCTTGCAGAATCCATCGGAAACGGTGGTGGGTTAAGCCACTTCTGGATTCACTGGTTGTAGATTTACGTCCTGTACCACCCCTCTTGGGAACTTATGACGGCACTGTTGAAGATTCTTTCAACTTCTCTCTCATGAGTCTGGGGGGGACCACAACTTGTCAGATTTCTTCCTGACATCTGTGTGTGGATTTTAGATATACTAATATTCCATTAGTTATCTATTGCAACTCCATCTCTTGAAGCGCATCAAGTGGAGATGCGACCCTTCTTCATGTACGAGTATGTCCTATACAAGTACAGGGTCTATCACTCATGCTAATCTGTCCTAGACGTGTGCATGGACTTATAGCCATTGCTCTCCAGAGCGTTGGTATTCACAAGTCACGTGATAAAAGGGGTGAGATTTACTCAGCACCTTTGTGGAACCATTTGCTACAACAAGTGGCCCAAACTGAGACGTCTACAGTGGCAATGTCTCTGAGGTAGTGGTTGGCAAACACCATGTTCGATCTCCAAAAGCAGCCCTCCATTATAGTTGTAATCGAGCAGTTTCCATGCAGAGCAAGTGTTGACGCCAGGGCTCTGACTTCGTGTGGATTGGAGGCTCGTGGAGGCTCAAGTCCTGCTGCTTTATAGGCCCTTAGTATAACGGCTCTCATCCAGATCGATATCGTTGTCCGAGAGACTTCCGTGGGCGTCTCAGTGGATAAGGGGATGAATAGGCACTCGAATTTTCGTCTCCTTGTTTTATTTTTTCTAAGTAGATTTTAAGTGCTCTGATTGGGCATAAGGATAGATCCTGCATATCCTGTGGCCCAAGGACTGTAGATAGTGCTGGGATGTGGAACTGTCTGTCAGGCTGACCAGGCAGTTGGTTCTTGGCGATAAAATCCCATCTTAGTCCAAGATGTATGATGTCACGATGTCTTGATTCAAATCGTGTTCGTTCAAAGTCCAGAGCATGTATTTCTGACATCCTTGCAGCTGTTGCTAGGGCGATCAGGAACAGCGTTTTCTGAGTTAGCAGTTCAAAGGATGTCCGTTCTACAGGCTCGTAGGCATCACTGGTGAGATGTTGTAAAACTATGTTGAGATCCCAGGCAGGAGCCTTAAATTTCTTTTGTTGGTCTTCCAACTTGAACGAGCGTAGTCAGCTTGATACCCATTTTCATGGTGATAACTGTACTGAGGGCAGCTAAGTAAGTTGAGAGTGTTGAACCTTTTAAGTGTTTCGTCTGTCGTAGATGACATAAGTATTCCGCCACTTGAGGATGTGTTGCTTTCACCGCTGTAAAGCCTTTCCTCTTTGCATAATGTTCAAATCTCTGCCACTTGTCGTCATACAAGTTGCGAGTTGATCTGCGTAGAGCTAGTGTTACTGCTTTCGCTGCTCTGGCGGAGTACCCTCTAGTCTTCAGGCAAGCTTTAATACGCTCCATGCGTGTAGCTGGAAAAGTGTCGGGTTCCTGTGAGCTTGCTTGGTGTGTGGATGGACGAGTAGGTTCGACCACTCTGGTAGTTTCAGGGTTGGACTTCCGAGTTCTTGTATGAGGACGGGAAACCATACCCTCGCTGGCCAGTAGGGCTCGACCAAAATCAGTTGCAACGTAGTCGTCTGCTTGATTTTCTGTAGTAGTACTTGTGGTAGTAGTGCAGGAGGCGGAAACGCGTAAGCGTTTAGTCCTTCCCATGAGATGCTTAGAGCATCTGTTGCCCATGCCTGAGGATCTGGAATCGGTGAGACGAACGTTGGTAGCTGTTTGTTGAACTTTGTTGCAAACAGGTCTATTAGTGGGGATCCTAAAGTCTGTCTGATGAACTGGAATGCTTCTGGATGCAACATCCATTCCGTCGGGGATGGTTGTAGTGGACGAGATAGGGCGTCTGCTATGACATTCTTTGCTCCCGGAATGTGGCATGCCTTCATGTAGATGTTCAGGTCGTCGACTATGCTGAACAGGAGAAAACTGAGTTGTAGCAGACTTGTTGATCTTGTTGACCCTTGTTTGTTGATGTAAAACGCCACTGTAGAGTTGTCCGTGTGTACCATGAGTCGTGCGTTCTTTAGTACGCTGGACCAATGTTGTAAAGCGTTGATTACTGCTTTCATCTCCAACAGATTGATGTGTGACTTCTGATCCTGACTCGACCACTTCCCTGCTGCCACTTCGTTGTTGAAGTGCGCACCCCATCCTTGTAGGGAGGCATCCAAGTAGAGATGAGTGTTGCAAACCGGCTCTGACAAAAAGGTCCCTCCGCAAATGTTCAACTACCGAGTCCACCATAGGAGATATGGTTTCAGGCTGTCCGGTAGTATTAACGGATCTAGGCTGTCTAGGTGGGCGTTCACAAATACTTGTAGTGGGTGCAACTGTAATTTCCCTCTGCGAGTCATGTCTTGAGCTGAGGTGAGTAGACCGAGCATGCTTTGCCAAGCACATAGTGTCAACGGAGAGAGCAATGCTTGAGATATCATCTGTTGTATTTTGACCCAACGATCCTCTGGGACGACTATACGATTCACTGGTGTGATGAGTCGAATTCCTAGGAATTGCAGATTCCTTTTCGGCTCCAGTTCCGTCTTGAGGAGATTCACTAGCCATCCTAGTTGAGTGAGCAGCCTGATGGTGAAGTCTAGTTGCAGTCTGACTTGACTGGGATCTTGATGAGCTTGAATCCCGTCGTCCAGGTAGAAAGTACTGCGTAGACCTCGACGATGTAGATATGTGACGATGGGCTTGGTCACTCTGAGTAAACAACCAGGGGCCGGCGATATTCCAAACGGTAGAACCTTCCACTGGAAGTGATGTCCGTTGAAAAGGAAACGTAGGTATTTCCTTGAGTCTGGATGTATCGGGATGTGGAGGTACATCTTGCAGATCTATGCTGGCGAGGAAGTCTGCTTGACGAACGAGATGTCAGAGCTAAGGAAGATGTATCATCTTTAACTTTGTTGGTCTGCGTAGATACTCCCAATTGAACTTCCTCATGTTGTAGATGAGCTGAAATTTCTCCTTGGAATTCTTCTTCGGTACCAGGAAAATTGGGGTGTAGAACCCAGGCGTGATGAGATCTTGATCTATGTCTTCTACTGCCTCTTTGTTGAGTAGGGTCTTGATAGCATCATCCAGTTTCTCTATCTGGTCAGCTGCGTTAGTTGAAGGCCATCAGGTTGCTTGTGAGCGGCGGAGTGGCTTCCAACTGTATCTTGTACCCTCTGCGCAGTATCTGGGATACGTAGTCGTCCTGTAGTATTCCCCAATTTTCCCAGTACCGTTGAAGACGTCCACCCACTGCCAAAGGTTGCACAGGAACAGCTGGGGGTGGAAGACTCCAGTCGTTCCGAACCTGGCCTTCTATGCTTGATTCCTCTTGCACCCCTGGGTGCTTGGCCTCTTCCAGGGTTACCTCTAGGAGCTCCGGTTGGGCGAAGAAAGGAGCCTCTTCCTCCTTTCATACTGGAATACTTCTTTTCTCTGGCTCTCTGGGCTCCTGCAAACTTAGATTTGTTTGAGTAGCGTTGGGACGTCTGACGAATCACGTTAGCCAAAGTGTCGATGGATTTAATCCCCATAACTTCCCTTGAGTCGTGAGAGACTTCTCTGGCGACTTCTTCAATTCCTCCTCCGAAGATGTAAGATGATGACCATGGGGCTCTGTATAAAGACTTGGGATAGATGTGGAAAAAGGCACTCTAGGAATTAGTGGTGTTCCGATTAATTGAAATAATCGAAGATTAGTCGCAGTGACCAAATGACCAAGCAATCGATCACGTTTTCTCATAATCGAACATAAACGATTTTGGAACTACTGTTTTAGTCTTTGAAAAACTTGACAATGGAATATATCTTAGAAATTGTCAGGGCCTGAAAACGTGTTTAATTCTTAGAAAACTCACTTCACTAACTGAAAAGCCATGACTGAATATTTCTCTAAGACTCAAGGAAGGTTATGTTCATGATATATTAGTCATCACTTTAAAGTAGCAAGTTGCATCATGTTATAAATATCTGCAATAACAACCTGGATAGGAAAATCTGAAAAATCTTGCTAACCAATTTTTTTCGATGATTGTTCGTTGGTAATGAAGCAATCATCAATTGTGAGATTTCAACCAATTCCCAACACTACTAGGAATCATTGACACACCTGTCAACCCCACCGGAGGATGAGAGAGCGCCGCACCAAAACCATCCACTGCACCTGAAGCAATTGACACATTCGACACAAGCCCCAAATGGGAAACAGGCGTAGAATCAACCATTGAAGTGGAAAGCGCCGCACTGCAAGGAAGCGTCACTTGAGATGTAATGCTAGTAATCACACCAAGCGCCGCACGGGAACCCCCCACCTCAGGAACAGAAGTGCACTGAGGAATAGGTATCACCGAAGAGGGACGGGTTTGAAGAGAAAACGTAGACAACAAGATAACCCTAGGTGGTGAAGAGGCTAGACGCATGCGGCCGGAAAAGTTGACGTAAATTCTCACTGAGGTAAGAATCCGACGCCTCCCCTAGGAAATCTTCAGCAGGCGACGGGGACTTCGAACGTTGGACTGCAGTTTTCTTACGGCGTTCTGTCTTAGAACGTTTAGACGCAGAAGGACCCTCAGATGGTTGACGACGATCCCTATCTGACACGCGTCTACAAGCTACCCGCGATATTCAGAAAAATCATCATCGTTGAGGTCTGCAAAAAAAGTGCAACGTTGAGACCACTCACAACGTCCTAAACAATCAACACATAAAGCATGTGGGTCTGCCGCCGAGAAGTTGCTGTTGCATTTATCGCAATGCTTGCGCTTTTTAGCACTATTGCGATTCGATTTTCCCATTGTAGAACACAATCAAACTTTCTTAGAGACAAGCACACATCCACACGACGTAGCGACAAGAAAGAGAATGACAGGCACAGGTAGTCATATGATCATCTGAGCGAGCTGCACGCTTACGGAGATGATTGACAGGTGCTGATGTCGGAGGGGGTCAGAGGCCAGTAAGATTTGATTCAACTTAGCCTACAGCACGTTTCCACACATGGTCGTAGAAGAAGAAGAGAGGTGCATACCATGAGATAGGATAAGTTTAAAAATTAAAAGGATATGTGCCGTATAGGGACCCAGGTGTTCTCACAACCGTCCTCAAGGGCGAAGAAGGAGAGAGTGACAAATATGGCTGATCATGTGACCATTTGGGCGCCAAAGGGAGGAATGGGACACTACTCATGGGTGAGTGATTTTACGTCCTCTTTTTTAAAGGGAACTTCAAGGGATTTCAAGTGTTCCACTATCATTCGCATAAGGAAGGAGACAAGCATAATTAGCATGAGTCAGGATAAGGAAAAATATGAAAATATAGAAAGAAAAAGGTAAGGGGATATTATGACATGTTACAAATGGAAAAAATTGCAGCATTTTATGCTCCCTTCGTGGTTTATCTGGACATTATAAATTTTTAAGCTTGCATTTTCATTAAATATTAAATTAATTACATTGTAGTTGGATTATTTTAATAATATGATCAAAAATAAATTTCATATTTATAAACAGTAGGATTAGACCTTTCAAATGGAGTATGATATGTAGTAGCAATAATGTTTTACAAGCTGATATTTTCCTTGATAGCATAGGCTCCATCTATGACCTCAGAGTCTCTGGGAACTCGGTGTCATGGCAGTAAAAGCCTCTGGTTGACTGGTGTTGAAAGAGTTAAAAACAGAACAAAGGATAATTCTAGAATGTCTAATCAGGTTTGTAGAAATTGAATGACTATGGAAAGTCTCTGCAGTTTATCATTCTTACCCAACTGAGGCAATGGATAGACGATGATTTCCATAGAATCAGTTCAAAACCTGCACCTGTTGTCCAAAATATGTTGTGTAAACATTTTCGAGGTTGAGTGATTAAAAAATACATTCCAGTTGTGGCTTTCCCAATGTTCAAACATACCTGACACTATGCTATTGATAATGAAGTCAAAACAATCATCACATGACAGAACCTACCTGTAGCCTGATCCCTGTTTGTTGAGAAGAAGCAGCATTTTCTGAAGACTGAAGCTGTTTTCTATTGTAGATGCCCCATTTGTTTGACCTCCATTATCCAAACTACGAAGAACCTCACCCACACCATCTTTTAATGTCCTGAAACAGAAGTGCAAAATAATAGTAAGAAAAATCAGCTATTTTTTTAGGAAGCACGTAATTTCTAACATTAGCTTATTTGTGCCTTTTCACTTAAAATCATACAGGAAATTAAATCCCCACAATGACAGACAGCATAACTTACTGGACTAGGCCCTGCAGTCTGGAGATCTCCATGTCTCGTTGTTTGAGAGATACCTGCAGGATACGGTTCTCACTCTCTGCTGCTGCATGTCTCAGGTGACTTCCCTCAGTCTGCTTCCGGGCAAGTTCCAGCTCAAACTGCAATTTCTGAAACTCCTTGGAAGATTCTTCTCGGGTTCTTGTACAGTCATTCTCCTGATAATAAAACCAAATACCAGCATATTTAACTTCCTCATATCTACATAATATATACTAATATAGGTTTTAATGCCAAAGTCTCAAATGAGAGTTTTCATAGACATTTTAATTGACTATGAAAAGTATATGTTAACAGGAAATCTTAAATGTAAAATAACTAAGGCCATGCCATGTTTGGTTAGTAGACTCAAAAGGTTATGGCAGTGTGACAGATGACACAATAACCTAACTCGACATAATTTATACAACTTCCTAAAACACCCTCAAACCCCATGTAACAAGGCGACAGTCAAGTCATCAATAGTTGCACTTGTTACTGAATAAATGTAAAAATAAATAACTGGAGGAAATGATAAGGTGACTAGTCAAAAGAACCATTGATTAAACCAGATACTGTATACAGCTATATGCAAATGATACAGTTCGTACCTTATCACCAAGTACAACAATCAGCCTCTGCCTCTCGTACTTCATGCGTTCCAGCTCCTGGGACAGTCTCTGAGTCAGTTCCTTCTCCTCCTTCAGCTGCCGATGCAGAGATGCATTGTCAGTCTGGAGGTGCAGCACTGAAACACAAAGACAGGACCACCTTCACTTCTGTCACTGGAGTGTCATGATCATCACTCTCAAGTCAAACAGAAAAAGGCATGCATTTGTGTCATTATAAGCAATTTAACCCCAATCACAGCTGGAGACCTTCATCCTTCTCCACTTGACCTCCCCACTATCTCTGTATTGAAATGATAAACCCAATAAGGACTGAGAAATAACAAGAGGTATCAGAGATGACATATCGAACCTATCTGGTGCAATTTGAAAAATGGCCTTATTTGCCTTCATGAAGTTCAGCACTATTGTAAATCCTAATCATTAGGACTCAGTTCATTGTACTGCTACATGAATGACAGATCATATTTCAATGACATTTTTTATTTTCTTATTATATCCTATGAACACATAAGCAAATGATCAAATACATGTACATTAAGTGCAGAATTGGGTTTTCAAAAAACATTTGATATTACCATGATTTGATTCCATCTTAATGCTATACCATAACTGATTATGGCAATATTTCACAACAAAATGACTCACTTTCAAAGTTGATTCCATGGTTAGTGTTTTCCTTCTCTTGTCTCTCCCTCTCTTTCAGTTGCTGGTTGACAATTCTCAGTCTCCTGCAATACCAAGCAATAAATGGCAATTGATACTCCACTGACAGAAAGGAACCTAAATGCAGTAACTGCACAAACAGAATAACTATAATGAAACTGACTCGATCCTCTGCCTTTATAAAACTTGACATAAACAAAATCTGACTGCTTCATAGTGTTAGGATTTGGTTAAAAACTCATAATTGATGACTGGTTCATTACAACCAATAAATCATCGACAATAATTGGTTAGCGTCATTTATCAAATTTTCCTGGTTTGTTTGTTAACGCACCAAATATAAAGACAAAACATGTAGTTCTTTTTGAAAATTTTCCATAACACCAGTCAAAACATTTACTGCCATGACACCGAGTTCTTTCAAAGATGAGTTTATGAAGGAAATTATAAGCTTGCAAATTGCTACTCATCCCATCTTTTCTAATCCTACTGTTGATAAATATGAAGTTTATTTTATAATATTATTCAAATAACACAACTACAACTTAAATAAAATTATTTTGAATGAAAAATGCAAGCTTACATTTATAACGCCAGATAAACCACGAAAAGAAGCAAAAACTAAAGGCGATTTTTTCCATTTGTGACATGTCATAACATGCCCGTGCCTTTTCTTTTATATTTTCACTTTTACGTAATCAGAAAATTATTATAAAAGATTTCTTAAATAATATGTATGGTCGCCTATTTCCCGATATCTGTGGCTTTCCGCTTTCGGTAACATGACATAACAACGGATAATACCTCGGTTTTGAAGCTTCAGATGAATAACATGGGAGGCGAATCGTTTGATACCGGTATCGTTCGAAAGCTCTGAACATCAACAACATCACTGAACCCTTGCCGAGTATTTTCACAGTTGTAAGAAGCGATTTTATTGGATAAAAATTGGTTTCTAATGGCGCTTTTAAGCTACAGTCTGCTATAAGGGTGCGTTGATTGGTCAAAATCAGACCGCGTGACCTAAGGCAGCCAATCATATTACGGCAATGGATACCGTCCCTCGTAAAAGAAAACTTTTAGATTTAGACGAAAGTTTTGGGTAAAATAATGCTATTCTGAACATATTAAGCAAGAAATCGCTACCTATACGTGAAATTATGGGACTTATTGGATATCGCGGCTAGGTTATGACCTGTGACAAAAATGCTTCATGCATATATTTTTCGCATTAAACATCGTGGTCCGAGTGAAGATTGGGCGGCGAGCCGAGATGTCACTTAGTCAGTGATTTGACTTGCATTACATGATCGCACAAAAGATGGAAAAAGTAATTTTATATGTACATTTGACAACTTTTATGAATGCTGTTGTTGATTTTATTCATTAGTTTATTCTATTTATTTAATCATTTCCTCGAAACATCGTTACTTTGCTCTTTGACAATGTTATTGTGGACCCGGTCCCGAAGCATGTGTCCGAAAATCGTTGTTTTCAATTACATTGCGAAAAATAGTTTATAATTTTAATTCTGCCGATAATATATGATCATTTGAAATTTAATAAGTGTTTCCAAACATTGTGAAATGTGATGGATTTAATATATGAATCATAAGTCAGCTAAGTTCCTAAAATTATGTCTCATTTTGACGTGACTACTGCCTGGCCGCTTAAGCGGCCTCCGGTGTCTGGGGACTCATAACGTTGTGGCCGCTTAAGCGGCCTGCTGTGTTGAAAGGGTTAAGGATGACTTGCATGTTAGGAAATGTAATTTTTTGAGTAAAATTGATATTTTATACTTATCCTGACTCATGCTCTTTTGCTTGTCTTCTTCTTCTTGCGAACATAGTGGAACACTTGTATCTCCTTAATTGAAGCTCCCTTCAATGTAAAATCACTAATTGGTACTCACCACGAGTTGCCTCCCTTGCCCCTTTTGGCGGGAACAGGTGTCGCCACCCTCTGGCCTCATGCTTCACTCTCTCCTGATTTTGCGAGCCCAACACTTGAATTTACAGGGAAATCCAAAGTGTTATGTGGGGAGGATGGGAGGGCTAACCTCATGAGTCAGGATAAGTATAAAATATCAATTTTACTCAAAAAATTACATATTTTTCCTTATCCTGACTCATGCTCTTTTGCTTGTAGAATCCTACGAGGCGGAGGTGGGCAAAACAGAATACTTTGGATTTATAGAATTAGTGATTTATATAGATATAACTGTAATAACCCCCTCACGGGAACTTCATAAAGGCATAGACTTAGGATAATTCCTCTATTATAAGCCATAGGTTATAATGCCATACTGGGGTATTTACATTAATAATATACTGAGATATTATAAACAACAATATCAAAGCGACTCTGATAGAGAAGCTATACCACTGAACATATATACATACTGCTAGAACTCCGTAGAGTTATAAGCTAGATAATGCATGTAACAATTATGCATATTAATCTCACGTAAGACTACGTGTTAGCGTTCTGAGGGACTGTCAACTGCTGTGCGAGGACCAAGGGACCGAAATGGTGAATGCCTGAGGCGTCCTCGGTGGTGATATCTCTCAGGTAGTGATTAGCAAACACCATGTTAGATTTCCAAAAGCATCCTTCCATAATTGTATTCAATGAACAGTTACCGTGTAAGAGTGGAAGCTAACGCCCTGATTTCATGGGGATTTGATGCTGTTGGAGGGTCCAGTCCTGCTGCCTTGTAGGCTGCAGTATGACAGTTCTTATCCATATAGATATGGTGAGTACGAGAGACTTCTGTCTGAGTTGTTGCCGACAAGGGAATGAATAATCGTTTGAGAAATCTTCGCCTTGTTTTGGAACGTAAGTAAATAGATTTTGAGAGCTCTGACTGGGCATAGAGATAAGTCCAGTGTATCTTGAGATCCAGAATGGAGGATAATGCAGGGATATGAAATAACCTGTCTGGTTGACCTGGTAGTTGATTTTTGGCGATGAAATCCATCTTAATCCCAGGTGTGCTGTGTTTTTGATTGTCATCAAACTGTATCCTCTCATAATCTAGTGTGAATTTCCGACATCCTGGCTGCTGTGGCTAGAGATAACAGGAAAAAGCGTTTTCTGTGAGAGAAATTCAAAGTTTGTCGATTCCAACGGTTCATAAGCCTCACTTGTGAGGTGTTGTAACACTATATTCAGATCCCAAGCTGGGGCGTGGAACTTCGCTTTTGGTCCTCCAATGGCGGAAAGCCCGTAGTAAGGCCAGTAACTCTGGAGTTCTTGTCAATCTAACACCCGTTCTCATGGTAATGACAGAACTAAACGCGGCAAGATATGTTGACAATGTCGAGCCTTTTAAATGTTTGTTTTGCCGTAAGTAACACAAATAATCTGCCACTTGTGGATGAGTAGCATCTCTTGCTGTAAATCCCTTATTTGCTGCGTAATTCTCAAAACTGTGCCACTTGTCGTGCGTACATTGTTCACGGTAGAATAGCGTAAGGCAAGCGTGACCGCTTTTGCAGCCCTGGTAGAATACCCTCTCTTGTTTAAACACATTTTAATACAGTCCATACGAAGTTGGAATACTTCTGGGCTTCCGTGCACCTGTTTGGTGTGTGGATGTATTAATAGATTTGGCGCTTGGGTAGCTCTAGTGTTGGTTGACCGATTTCTTGAATTAGAATGGGAAACCACGCTCTGGCCGACCAGTAGAGCGCGACCAAAGTGAGTTGGAGGCTCTGTGTTTGTCTGATTTTCTGTAATACTTGAGGTATTATTGCTGGTGGCGGAAGCGCGTGCGCATTGAGGCCTTCCCAGGATATGCTTAGAGCCGCCCGCTGCCCATGCTTGTGGGTCTGGGACTGGTGACACGAATGTCGGTAGCTGATTGTTGAAGCATGTTGCGAATAGATCTACTAGCGGCTCCTATTTGCTTGATTATCTGTGCAAATATTTCTGTATTGAGCATCCATTCTGTCGGTGGCGGTTGATGTGGCGAGAGAGTCGTCTGCTAGTACATTCTTGGCTCGGGAATGTGACATGCTCTGACATGTAGGTTAAGATCGTGTATTAGATCGAACAGTTGAAAGCTTAAAGTCAATAGGTTCAGTGATCTTGTTGAACCTTGTTTGTTCACATAGAACGCCACTGTCGAGTTGTCAGTATGAAGCATTAAGTCGCATTCTGTAGAATGTTGCTCCAATGAAGTATGGCGTTGATTACAGCTTTCATCTCTAACATGTTTTATATGGAGCTTGCTTTCTTGCTGATTCCATAACCCTGATGCCGTCCGGTTGGCGAGATGAGCTCCCCAACCTTGGGCGGCAGCGTCTACATATAGATGGGTTTTGAATTCCTGCTCTTCTAAACAAATACCTTACGCAAAACATTCGACCTCCTGGTCCACCATAGTAGATGAGGTCTGAGGCGTTTTAGGTAGACTGAATGGTTGTAGGTCGTCCGAGATGTGCATTGATGAAGACCTGTAATGGGCGTAACTGTAATCTGCCTGAGACTGTCATGTCTTGGGCTGATGTGAGAGACCCAACACGCTCTGCCATTGTCGTGTAGTGGTAGCGGAGAGAGTAGAAACTGACGGAATGGTCTGTTGGATCTTGAGCCAACGGTCTTCTGGTCTGACGATACGGTTGTGATTAAATAAATCGAATGCCTAGGAACTGCAGATCTTGCGATGGTACTAGGTCCGACTTGAGTAAGTTTACTAACCATCCTAGCTGTGTTAGTAGCTTTATGATGTAGATTTAACTGTAGTTTGAGATGCTGTGGATCTTGATCTACTTGTATCCCGTCGTCGAGGTAGAACGCATCGTAGCCCTAGAACGATGTAGATGGAAGTGACAATAGGTTTCGTTATCCCTGCGTGAATAGCCAGGGGCTGATGATATGCGAATGGGAGTACTTTCCATTGGTAATGTAGCCCGTCTAGTGTAAATCTTAGATATTTCCTGGATTCGGGATGTATCGGGGATATGTAGATATCGTCTTGCAGATCTATACTGGCCATGTAATCCATGGGGCCGAATCAACTGCCGTAACTGAGGAAAGGTGTATCATGCGAAACTTTGGTGGTTTGCGTAGATAATTCCTGTTGAAAAAGCCTCATGTTGTAAATGAGTCTGTATTTCTCCTTGGAGTTTTCTTGGGTACTAGGAAAACTGGGGAGTAAAGCCTGGTTCGATGTTTACTTGATCTAGTACTTCTATGGCCTGCTTGGTTATGAGTGATGTAACCGCCTCTTAACTTTGGTAGTTGTTGTGCCTGTAAGTCGAACTTGTAAGGGTTGACTGTCAGCGGAGGCGTGGCCTGTAGTGGGATACGAAATCCGTGTTGAAGAATGTTGGAGACATAAGGGTCTTTAACATTCCCAGTTCTCCCAGTGTAGTTGAGGCGTCCACCCACTTGTGACGGTTGTACTGGAGCGGCTGGGGTGGAAGACTCCAGTCGTTCGAACCTGTCTTTCAGCGTTTATAGTTAAGGGAACCTCTGGGTGTCCTGCCTCTTCCTGACCCTCCTCTATAGTTGCCATATGGGCTGACGAAAAGAATCTTTCCCTGGCTGGCTATCTTCCTATCCCGTGCTTTCTGTAGTCCCGAGAACTTAGATCTCCCTGAGTATCTTTGTGAAGTCTGCCTGATGACGCTGGCTAGCGTGTCCATCGACTTGATCATAAGGACTTCTCTGGAGTCCTTAGTGACTTCCTTGGAGACTTTGTCTATTCCTCCGTCAAAGATGTTTGGGGATGACCACGGGGCTGTATAGAGTGGAGCTGTAAAGTTCTCACCCCAGCTGCAGGAAGCGAGGAGGCCTTGACGACGAGCTAAGGTCAGTGCTGCTGAGACAGATGTGAGATGATCTGTAAGGAACTGCTGGTCCTTCTTTTGCATCAGTAGGGCCGAGTAGATCATCCTATCATCTTCAGAGGTTAGATATTCACGAAAATCTGGTGATAAGTGTCTCATTGATCGTTCTAGATCTATTTAGGCCAAAAACATCGTCTCGTCATGTTTTCTATCTGCACCAACTTCGCGATCGTCAATCTTGTAGTTCTTGTTCTTAACATCGCTGATCAGCTTGTAGTTTTCATCGATGTCTTGTGCCTTCAGGAAGGGGTCCATGTTGTCGTGGGAGAACTGCTTAAGCGTGAAAGTTCGGCAGATGTGGTGTCTGCACTTTTCGTAGCTTTAATGAAGGCTGTATCTAGATTATGTGGCACCGCGGCAATCGGGATTACGATCGGAGGTAAGGTGATGGCGTCTGCATCGTCTTCCTTCATCAGGTATGTCTGCGCTGAGTTGCCACTCTTGGGCCGGTGAAGATAAATCTAGGTTGTTTACCATCCAATATCTTATCTCAAGTCTGAGAAGATGATGCCTCCATCATCTTCTGTACCAGCATCGGAGATGAGAGGTTGATGCTCTTCTGATGGTGACCTGTGGGCTGCTATCTCTATGTCGGGTGACACTTTCGGGGAGACCTGAGTGTAGACCTGTGTGCCGACTTGTGTGTGATGACCTGCGGGTGATGTACGTGGAGAACGGGCGCGGAGATCGCGTCTAGGTGATCTGTGTCTATGGGAAGACCTAGATCTGCGAGGAGAATGTTGGCGGCTTCGTGGAAGCTCTTGAATAGTCCCCTCGGCGCCCTTCTGGGCGATGACGATCTGTGTGGACGGCCTTACTTGCAGCTTCCTCTCGCGCCGGACCTGGGGAGCGCCTTGACTCGTGGCGGTTTCCGTGACGCCTGGTGGTCTGAGTCTGCATCTGAGGATGAGGCCGAGGGGACGATGACGATCTCCCGTCTTCGCGAAGGCCTCGCCAGCGGACGCTATCCACATCTGCGCCCTTCCGTCGAGGTGGTCTGTGACTTCCTTCGAAGGCTGCTTCGTCGTGGCTGCTCACGCTGACTGGGGGTGCCTCTGGGGTATCGTCTCGCGTTGCTCGGGCCCTGGGCTGGCTGCTTCCCGACTGTAGTGGCCCTCCATCATGGTCATGATCTGCCGCACAGCTCGTCTGGGATGGTCTGCGCGAAAAGAAGTCGGTGCCCTCTCGCGATGACAGCTGCTGACCCCTCAGGGAAGTCGTCTGACATCAGTGTAGAGGGCATCAGGCTGCATATGGCGATCTCTGCTGATGTCACTGTAGCTGTCACCGGTCAAGCTTCTTGTGGCGTCACGTCAGGGATGATGATCGGCTGATCATCGTAGAGGCCCAGTTAAAGCGGCTGGAGCGATCTCGGCTGAAAAGTTCTTGGCGACCGTGGACTTCCCCTTGGATGTCGGCGCTGCCCTGGGGTCGAAGTCTCTGCGTTGGGGAAGGCGTCGTGGCCCTCTTGGACTTTATCTGCGATGACGGGACGTCTGGGGAGGCAGGGCGCTTCTTAGAGGTGGCGGATTGCATCCCACGCCCATCTTCGGCGGAGTCTCTTGCGAAACACCAGGCGGGAGGGTCTATCAACAGCAGCTGACTGGAAGGGGAATCGATGTATCGGCCATGTCTAACCCTTGTTTAGCGTGACCTATCTGCGGTGCGTCTCCACGGCATAAAGATATTTATGAAAAGCAGGAATTGGATAGATTAATGCAGTAACTGCAGCGTGTATCAAGCGCACAAGGCGTAGCACAACTAGGGCATAATACATGCGGGTCAGCAATCAGCGTAAATTGCAAATGGTACAGATTTTCATCGCGCGAAATACTAGCTGAACAATCACGAACTCCATTGAATAAACAGTAGAAATCACGATTAAATATCAATGCAAATTAATGAAGGATACTAGCTATACCTCTATAGTAACCTATAAGAGGTAATAAACTAAGAAAAACCAAAGGATATAGTGTGTAAGGAGACACAGAGCTCTCACATCCTGCTCACTGGTAGAAGAAGGAGAGTGAAGCATGAGGCCAGAGGGTGGCGACACCTGTTCAGCGCCAAAGGGGCAAGGGAGGCAACTCGTGGTGAGTACCAATTAGTGATTTTACCATAAATTTCTTTTAGAGTCTTCAAGATAAATGACTTGGAACTAGCTTGCAGTGCTTATGAAATGTAACAGACAAAACCAACCTTGTGAAAAATATTGTTAAAGCAAACAAATGTTCCAAAATTGTTTGTGTTCGATTATGAGAAAACATGATTGATTGCTTGGTCGTTTAGTCATTGCGACCAATCTTCGATAATTTCAATTAATCAGACTACCACTACTACTTCATACCTTATGCATGAACTAATACAGAATTAATTTATTAAATCAGCAAGCTTCATGTAAGCTACAAGCCCCTGTAATCTTGTATCAATCTGAGCATACCATTGCGAATGTTAGATAGAATGTTCTACCTTCTGAGTTGACTGTTTTCTGAGCGTAGAGGCTGAAGCAAAAGGTCAACCTCTGTCTGGAGATTGAAGGTGGGTTTCAGTTGAGGGATGGCCTCTATGCACTCCTGAATGTCTTCTAGCACATACTGTAACTCAGACTCCCCTGTTCAACAAATGTGGAGACTATTCAGTTCAGATGTGTAGTGAAAGAAACAGCTTGTTACTTGATAGCTCAGTAACAGATTATCAACACTTGATAACATGAATACTAAATCAGACTAATGTAACATTTTAATCTTAATACCCCAAACAAAACAATTAACATTAAACTTATAACAAGGAACCCTACACTTTCAGGGTAAATTTCAAAAATTGACCTGCCAGAACTTCAGAAAATTGTTCCACATTTCTACCTTACAAAATAGTACCAGTACATACAATTGCTTTTCAGAGAATATCAAAATGAAACGTTTTATCATATGGATCATTATATGTTAATCATTTGCCTTTACATCATGTTGAACATATTGTCTTATTTTGCAAACTCATCAAATTTCTTTCTTCCTCACCTCCAAGTTTGCAGACTTCTCCAAGTTCTTTGACAAGATACCTCAACTTCCTAGGTCCAGCAATGGCCTCCAATCTAGCTGGTAGTAATGGCTGGTTCTGTGACACAGGATGCATGGACTGAGGAGCCGGGGTATGACCAAGCAGATTACTAGGACCTTGATGCAGGGTTTGGTTAGGAGCAGGAGTGGAAGGTGCCCTGTTGATGAATTTTGGTTCCTGACAAATTCTGGCTGCGGGAGAATTGACAGGTGTCATAGTCCACTGCTGATCAGTTTGCTCTGCTTGAAAGGGAGCAGTTTCTACTTCATAATTTTCCATTTGTTCTGCGTCCTCTAGTTCAGGAGCATGATTGGCTTCATCTTGGAACCGTCTTTCTAGATTATCACTTGCCCCCCTACGAGGCCTTATGTTGTCTGCATATAGATGTGGTTCATGGCCCTGAGCGGTCTCTCGAGTCATCCTCCTGAGAGTAGCCTCCCTTAGGTCACGAGCTCTGTTCCTTGGTGTTAAACTAACTGGTGAATTTGCTGGAGTTTCCAACATTGGTAACTGAGATGCAACAGGTTTCGATATGCACACATTTGAGTTAAGGGTGGACGAGATTAATCAGAGATGAAGGATAGTTCTCCCTCATATCAATTTCTTGAGCTTCATCTTTGTTCAAGGTAAACTGTGCAAGCCTGTTGGACATGTCATAATATGGATCACCTCTGTCAGACTGCCTAGCTGCATCTCTATTCATATCTGGATCATCATTCTGTCCTCTCTCATAATTCACAAACACTTCTTTGGTCTCAGCATGTTGCTCATAATGCTCAACCTTATTGCTGTTTAATTCTGTAGGTGTTGGATTCTTCCCAGTGTGGCGTCCCAATATTGCACGGGGTTCAACAGGCATGGTTCTAACAGGACTTGACACTGTTGGGTGTTGGACTTCCTGGACTGAACGATCCTCTGTAGATGAGTGTGCCGTCAGCTGATCAGAAGGTTGCTGCACACGATCAGTGTTCCTGGGAGTAAGTCCTGATCTAGCTGCTTCTTTCTTATCTACTTTCTGTGAAAGGTTGTACTGGTAGGCTTCATTCAGAATAGGACTTTGATTCTCTTCGGGGCTATAATCCAAATCATACTGCTCGTCTCTGCTGGTTCTCCGTCTGTAACCAGGACCAAACATCTTAACCTGGGAGCTGTTGAACAGAGGAACAGAATAGTCGTCCTGCTGGTCAGTATCAAAATCATGATTCAAATAGTCTCTGTTATGGGGATCAGGACTCTTTTCAGGGCCTTGCTTCTCTTTAGGACATGTGTACACTTTGTCCTCAACTCTGGACTGCACAGAAGGTGCTGGGTAAACCAGTTCCTCAGTTGCAGATAATCTGTTCCCAAGGAATTCCTTTTCCTCCTGTCCTGGTCGTTCAGATGGATCAGGATCTTTGCTCATAGACTCTGTCTTCGGCTTATCTTGACTAGATGGGAACAAAGGTGGAGAGAATCCTGTTGACTCTCTCTGCAGATAACACTGAAAATCACCAATGCTACTCTTCCGATTATGGCAAGCTGGGAAGGAATCTTCAAACCTCTTAACACCTTCAATAAAATCATTTTCAGTATGGAATGAAACAGGTCTGAACACCTTCTCAAAAGATTCTCCTTCTTTCAGATAGTTTTGGTTGTTGTCAATTTTCAAATCAGCAATTTCTTGAACAATATTTTGTTGAGGGAGAGGCAACCTGGGTGTATAACTGATCATTTTCTCCTTGCTTGGTTTAGAAGGGTTTGTATCTTTCTCAGGTATCATCTGAGCATATCCATCATCATCAACAACCTTCTCTGGGTCAGGTGTGGACGAAACAAGGCGCTGGTTAAATGGTGTGCGAACCTCCACCAGTGGAGCGCGGGATCTTGCCAGCCTACCATCAACCATATTGGCTACCTGTGTGTCAGGGGCTGGAATGTGAAATAATGTTTTACCGACCAAATCACTTCTACATGCATGACTTATCTGAATACGCTGAAATCAGAGCAGAGTTTGAAAATTTGACTGACAGAGGCAAAATACACCATGTACATACAATTTAGGAAAGAGAAAAATGAACTGTTGCAACATTAACATTATTCACAACTTCCTGGAATTATCAATGGAAAGTGAAACCTTTTTCACAAATATGACATAGCTCAACTAGTCACCTGAAAATACTTGCAAATACACTCTGAACTGAACAGCTTATAATCCAAAGGGATAGCTTGGTTTGAGCTATTTTAATAGTGAGTGAGTATGGTTTAACACCGCTTTTAGCAATATTCAAGCAATATCACAGTGGGGTACACCAGAAATAGGCTTCACACATTGTACCCACATGGGGAATCAAACCCAGGTCTTCGATGTGACGAGCGGAAGCTTAAACCATTAGGCTACCCCACCGCCCAGCTATTTTAATACATTTTCACAACATTGTGTAGATTTGCTGAATTTCCTACCATTGAATGATGCACTGAACAAACTAAAGGGTATAGCTATCATCATGATTATCATCATCATCAATATTGCCAATTTATCTGCATCCGTTTTCAATGTTTTCAGAAAAAACGTACAGTGACAACTGTCTTATATTTATCTGCAGTATGTGACATTCATAGGCATATATTCACAACCATACAATTTGTCACTTACAATTGTCTACAAAAGCCTTCTCAGATGAAGCCATAAGATATAATACCAATCATAAGAATAAATGCTCATAGTAAACAGTTCTGACTGAATTTTGATTGATGACTTACACTCTGTGCCAGCTGTTGGTATGAAAACTCGATCTTTTGTCTGAGAAACTGGTGTGCATCTTGAGGTCCGAGGCAAGTTCACAATATCGCAATTCTCATTCCCTTCTCGGCTTAGCATGATCACTGGCTTAGCCCATTGGTTCCCTCCTACAAATGTCAAAAAGAAAACGAGGTAAAAGAGATTAGTTTCTTTTTATCAGAAACACTTGTTTTCCTTTCTGCCTGTTCAGGGATGTTCTTTAAATCATGGTAAAAGGATCCTGACTGTTTGGCCTAAAACCCTATCACATAAATGCAATGAGTTATTGAGTCTAACTGATGATTCATATAACTGTCAACAATTTCAACTGATAAGCAATGTTTTGTTTTCAGTGCATAACTGGACATATCATAAAAGAATGATCACCTTTCTTCCTCTGAATCAGATTAGCTAGGAGTTCAGAACATTTGTCAATGCCACAATTGAGAGATGATATCTGATCCTCAGAGTCCGAAGAATAGAGTGAGTATCCAGGCTTTGGACGAGGAGCTTTCTTGGTGATCTTCTTTCCAGATTTAGTTTGCCTCTCTTTGAAACATCCTGATCTGTGAATGGAATAATTCAATTACAACAACATGTGTGATGACCAAATGATGGACGATAAAATGCTTGGTAAATCACATAATATATATCCATCTAAATCCCTGACAAAATGACCTGCAAACATTTTCAGTCTTTATTTTTTTCATCAGCATATCACACCTTCACAGCACATGTGCAACTGCATGATCATCAAGCATGATCAAACTGTGAGCTGGCATCCACTCATATCAAAAGTATCATATCTCTATTCTATCAACATGATCAAGAAAAATAAATCATCATGGATATATGTGAATAAGAACAGAGATACAAAACATAGAATAGTAACAGCAGGTTTTCAAAGTTCTATCACAGCAGTGCTGTGAAAAGCAAATACAACCATGTTAACAATGCTGGTAATAGATACCGGTACTCTCAGATATCTCTCAGAAGATACATCACCTTTTAACTGGAGTTGACTTGATCCCAGGTTTCACAGACACTGATTTGGCTTTTGAAACCTAAAACAAAAGTCACAAGTATTAGTATTTAGGCATATACCAATAGGAATAAGTGAGTGAGTTTGGTTTTACGCCGCTTTTAGTAATATTCCAGTATATCACAGCGGGGGACAACAGAAATGGGCTTCAGACATTGTACCCATGTGGGGAATCGAACCCGGGTCTTCGGCGTGACGAGCGAACGCTTTAACCACTAGGCCACCCCACTGCCCCTATACTGATAGGACTGACTGACTGAGTTTAGTTTTACGCCGCTTTTAGCAATATTCCAGCAATATCACGGCGGGGGACACCAGAAATGGGCTTAACACATTGTGCCCATGTGGGGAATCGAACCCGGGTCTTCGGCGTGACGAGCCAACGCTTTAACCACTAGGCTACCCCACCGCCCCTATACCGATAGGAACCATATACAGAAAGTGTGGAACTTGTAGAATAAACCACATATACAAAAGCAACTACATGGTATTTGAGCATAATTACATCAGCAATACCAAAGCAAAATGCCATGAACATGGTGAGAGAAAGCAGATTTACTAATCATCAAAGGTTTTAATGCATTTGTAATGAGGCCAACCTGATTTGCATTAAAAGAGTTACTTGATACAGATTGTACTCACACATCGAATATCATAACATAAAACAAGTGTCTGACAGTACATGAAACTCCTGTGAGTGAGTATGGTTTTTTGCCACTTTCAGCAATATTCCAGCAATATCACGGCAGGGGACATCAGAAATGAGCTTCACACATTGTACCCATGAAACTCCTTTGTAAACACTAACATGACCACAGCAGTAAAGAGGAAAGTACACAGTTGTCTTGAATCATGACAAGCAGCATAAGAAAGTGAGTGAGTGAGTGAGTGAGTTTAGTTTTACGCCGCTTTTAGCAATATTCCAGCTATATCACGGCGGAGCATAAGAAAGGAAACATGACTTCACCTTGCCCCTTCCTGCTGTTGCTGCTTTCCTTCCTTTTTCTGACATCTTGAATATTCAGTCTGTCATCTTTGCCATTTGCAGATACCTGTTCGTAGACATACAAATTTCAGCATCTCAAATAAATATTCTTATAAACCAATTAATAACATTTCATGAGGAACCAGTTGAACTGCCACTTGCTTCTTTCTGATGATGTAATTGGTGCCAAATGTGTGAGATTGACCTCATACATATATTCATTTACAATGTGAATGGCTTTATCAAAACAATTCATCCAAGCTAAGTTAACAAATAATCCATGTGGGTTTAAAAAATGTCATACAAAATGGAAAGACTTCCGCCCCTATCCCCCCTTAAATTTCATTCTAGTCAAATCATATCACCTGAATATATATTTTCCTCATCTGATAAGGATGAGTTTCAACATGTTTCTTTAACTGTATCTGAACATACTGAAAGACATATCCAACTTCTGAAAATGCCACTCTAAGGAATTTTTCCTCATCGTTAATATTTAGGGGGATACGGGCGGAAGTCTTACCAACTTTTGAAACTACCCTGTACACACACTGAACTTACAAAGAATTAACGATTTTGTCTCTTTTGACAAGTACAAGCGAGTCTGGTAATTCCGCGCGTCCGGTAATTCTGCGCAGCTGCAATAGCGTACTTCCATATCGAAGGTAAAATCGTCTGCTACCACATTTATGCTTGAAATCGGGACATTTCTACAAGGGACTGGCTTTTAATCACTAAAGGCAAGTAAATAACAGTAATTGACAGATAAATTGACATTTTTATGAAAATTCGTTTTCGTTAGACTTTTAAACCTTTTTCTTCATAATAGGATTTAATATGAAACACGCTTCCTTACATAGATGAAGTGATTTTTGAAAATAAACTGGCCCTAATACGCTTCCATACTTCGGATCTCCAGCTGGATGTTATGCGCATCAGTTGCTGCGCAGAATTACCGGACAGCAAGCGATGTCGTCAGAACGTCGGTAAGGTCAAACGTATGGCATAATGCAACGTTAGAATCTTATAGTCGTCAATAAAACGTATATTTCTAGGTAAATATGATGCAAACCAGCATGTTCAGTCACGTAAACCACACAAAGTAAGAGACATTAGTTGCCGTGTTGCGATCGATGTGCTTAGGTGCGCGGAATTACCGGACGGCATTGTATGTATATCAAGAATTCGTCATGTGTAACAGTACAATCTGTGTTACATGGCAAACAATATTGTGTTTCATAATCAAAATGATAACATAATTAAAAACAATCGTTCACTCTTGACTTCAACAGCAATTAGCACTAGCAATGAGGTCTTATTCCGATGTAGGGGGGGGGGTGCAATAAATTTGCTAGCTTATTCTCTACACAACTTCATAGTCTGCAACTGTTTAATTAACATAAATATCTGATCGGGGCAATTAAGATGGATGTGTGTTCCAACATTTATGCGATACATGTGAAGTTAATCAATACCTGCCAAAAAATTAAATTCTTTATGAACATTTCAAACAACATTTAGATCTTCCTTGATTGATATTTGGAACACATGCGTGCATGGGCCTGTTGTCAAAGTGTCATCGCTCAAGTCATGAATGATGTCGATCGTCTACTTGTTGTCTATAATGCATGAAATGCGCACAGCCATGAGGATTCAAACTACTGCTTTGTGAACATTCTTATTTACCTACTAAGCTCACTAAGCTCCGTCTTTGAACAATATGCGAAATCTTGCCGCTTGTGAAGTCTGCTCACGAAACGAGCCTAACAACAGTCTTGTTATATCTGTAACCGACTTCCGGTTTGTAAGAAATATAGTCTGTCCAAAGGTACGCTCATGTAGATCTGTAAGATGTTCTGAATACATAAATAATGTATTATAAAGGTGTCACCTACAAGGTGTAACCATAAACAGTTTGGTCCTTGTCGTCATGTACTCTCCATTTACTGAAACAAACCGGCGAACGAATACAAATGAGAAAATAAAAAAGTTGAAACGACACATATTCGTACAGCGAGTTTTACAGTAATGGAGGCTGAAAATCCAATCCCACTTGGCATGTTCAAAATTCAAAGAATGAAAACCATGTTGTCAATGGAATATTGTCAGTGGTTGAGAGACAAACGACAAGCCACTGATCCCACTAAACTATGATATGTAACTGTTATTAGAAGTTACACCCAAATGTCTTGTGTGTTTTGTTTTCAACATATTTTATTAAAAAATTAAATGGATTGGGCACAAGTTATCCAACTTAGGAACGCCCTCTCCCAGAAGTTACATATTTCATATTTACAATTATCTAAACACTGACAACAGGGATTTGTTGAATAAATTTACACGATCTTTAAGAGGGTGTGTGTAATATATACAAGAAGAAAACTACAAAAATCTTTCAGTGAGCGTAATATATCTATATGTACATGTTCAAAGTAGTGATTGTGTGCCATGACCAAATAACAATAAGTCTAGATTAATAGGTATGCGATGCTTAACGACAGCATATGTGATACATGTGGTCTCACCTTAGGCAAGTGAGTTTGTTCCAAATTGCCTTCTATAGCGCCTAAAATGGCAGCTTGGGTTATCCGGGGTAATAAGAATCAGATTCTGATTAAGCGCCGCAAGCAATCACTTGGTGTTTGGAGACTGTGCGCTATAGAAGATGACTTATTATTGTCATCTTATTATTTATTTACATTTACAAACAAATCTTTACGCTGCGTTGTGTACAAAGAACATTCTCAAAGATAATGCCATGAATTTTCACAAGGACAACCACAAGTACAAGAAGCATCTGATCTTAAATTAATTCTAAATAAATCGTAAATTAGCGGACTTGTATTGTATTCAGTTTTGTGTGAATAATGTTAAGTTTTCTTGTACCAGACCAAAAGCATGATGGGGCTGCTTTTATTTTACTTTCAATTTCAATTTAAAACCTGTTAAGAATCTATGTTTCTTATTTCTACGGGAACATTGTTCCACATTCGTATAGTAGATGGAATAAATGATGATAAGGAAAGTTTCAATCTCGTAAATGGAAGGGAGAAGTTTAAACAGTTGCGAAGGTTATAAGATGATTTTTGGCCAACAGATGTAGGTGGTAATTCCTGAAGGTATGATGGTGCAATATTGTGAAGAATCTTATAAAATAAGCAAAGTTTTCTTTTCTTCTACGTTCACTTAGGTTTCCCAACCAGTTTCAAAATACAAATGTCTTGTATAAGACCATATCTCTGGTGTGAGTGGCTTTTCACCCCGTGTTTTATTTGATTTGTATACGAAGAGTGATTATGATACACCTTCGTGATTATAGTAACGTCCTTCAGAGTGAGTGAGTTTAGTTTTACGCCGAACTCAGCAATATTCCAGCTACATGGCGGCGGTCTGTAAATAATTGAGTCTGGACCGGAGAATCCAGTGATCAACAGTATGAGCATCGATCTGCGCAAATGGGAACCGATGACATGTGTCAACCAAGTCAGCGAGCCTGACCACCCGATCCCGTTAGTCGCCTCTTACGACATGCATGGGTTACTGAAGATCAATATTCTAACCCGGATCTTCACGGGTACGTCCGTCAGAACCACCATTAAAGTCAAAGACAAAAGTACCGCGGATGATTAATGTTTTAACCAAACAAATATATATATATGTATGTATGTCTGTTTGTTTTGGGGTTTCTGTTTAACGCCGCACACAGCCTTTTCCAGCTGTATGACGGCGGTCTGTAAAGAAAATCAGGTCTGCAGCAAACATTCCGGTATTTGACATCATGAACATCGATCTACGCAATTGGGATACGATGACATATGTCAACCATGTCAGCGAACCTGACCGCCCGATTCCGTTAGTCGCCTCTTACGACATGCATGGGTTGCTGAAGACCAATCCCACCATCTTCACAGGCAAAAGCGCACACGCATGTACAACTGATACCCTCACCCCGAGGCCTAGTTCTATATAAAGTTGAGCACAGAAGAAAAACATGTTCTTGCATCCACGTGACTGTGTTTGCAACATTGGTTCTCCAGCCAAGGCACACTCTGTATGGAGAGATTCCCAAGTCTTCGTATGGAGAGATCCCTTTATGTATTTGATTAGTATATCGATGATTGGGTAGTAAAATCATCATTCTCGCATCCAACTCAGCAGGTTTAGTTTTATATCTTTATCTTCTATCCTCCTTTAGACGAACATCTCGTCTCTGAAATGAACATGTTTTGCAGAATGAAAAACAGTTCGTAAATTATGTCCATAAAATATACTCATGCAGATAATGGTTGTCACCCCCTCCCCACCCCAACCCCACCTCACAACCCTGATCCAATTAAAAAATTGAAGGGGTGACAACTATTATTGGCATGAGTATATGATAAAAAGGACCAGAGAGATTTTCTTCATTTCTGAAACTGGTAATCTAGACTTGCCACGTATTCTACACTTGCATGGGCTATGTTGGATATATCTCCTTCAGGACCTGTTTGACAAACTAATCCTACTCTGTGCTCGTGTGCACATTTTTTCGTATTTATATTTCTGGTTTGTAGATTTTTTAAAACTGTCCATAAGAAAATAGCTTTATAGCTATTGCTTTGTACTATAACAAAGGTAAATAACCTCTTGTATCTTGTAGCTAAGTTTCCACAGATCGTTTCAGAAATGACGTCAGATTCTCCATCCAACCTCATTCAAGTGTGTTGTTATGCTCCGGGGCTTCATGCACTCAGTTATCTGATTGGCCAAAAGTCGATATCTTCTGACGTCACGGCTCGATACTGAGGTATTCACTCAAGTACTCATACCGCCAAGGGCGACTAATTTCACACTGAAGGTCAACTCGCTAATTCTGACATTCAGTGTGCGAAATAGCTACCGGTCCGCTAGCCCGTGGCTAGTAAAAATCCAGTCGGGCCAGTAATCTCCACTGTCACTGGCCGGACTGGCAAGTGAGTTTTCGTGGGGTCATTTTGTAGATATATCACTCACTTGTTACGTTATTTATAATACACTTTTAAATCATGCAAGGTTATGGCCCGATAAAAATGTTCATCATATTAGCAGCTTAATGATGAAACCCTTGTGTACATTCAAATTTGGACTAGTGAATTATTTTATGGGCTAGTAACTTTGGAAACTATTTCCACACTGCTGACATTACATATCGTGATGTCACAGACGAATAAAATGCAAACATCTGATTGGCATGGATACAGGGACCTTTTCTGAAAAAGCATTAAAGAAGAACATTTTACCAGGACGAAGGTCTCAATGAACTGGATATATCTCCAAATATAGAATTTGATATCGAATATATTACATGTATTTCATGCTATAAAGGTGATTGAAAAACGGATCGGGCGAGACGTTGCAAAATGTTCACTGTGCGCAAGAGCCACTCTTTCCATAATAAATTGTAATGGTATATATGAAAACGCCTATTAGTTCTCCTTGAGCTTTCATATCTTTGACAATTATCACCATAAGTACACATAGAATATGGTGTTCTGGGTCATGTATATATATAGTTGGCCACATGGCACAACTGCTCGTAGCTGAACGTCGTAACATGACAATAATTCCTAATGATAATGTAAGTATGGAATGCAAGTGATAAAACAGCTTCCACAAATTGCAATCATGACACAAACCATGGGAACCGGACGATTTTTACACAGAGTGTCAGATGTTTACACAGAGTGTCAGATGCAGAAAGCTCCAGCAGACTGCCGCTATAGTTAAACTACTACAGAATTTTCCAGAGGTCGGATTCCCACCAGTTTCTATATACAGTAAGTTTATGAATCTGAAACTCGTGTTCAGGTGAGGTGTGGTGGGTCGCCCAAACGTTAAACGTGTCCTAATCCAACAGGACAGTTGGGGTTATGGTCGCCTTAGCGCTAAGATCGCTTTGTACAACGCCCCCACCATCAGGCTGACACGCCATAATGTGACGACATCATTGTTGAAATCAGCATTAAACCACTGGTAGTTATTTGTGTACATAATACAAGGGATAATCATCACCATCACCATGTGGATGGATTTATATAACATTTGACATTTTCGAATGTCCTCATTTCAGTGACAAAAAAGATCCGGGTTAGTATTGGTCTTCTGACTTGGTTGACGTCATCGTATCCCGGTTGCGTAGATCGATGCTCATGCTGTTGATCACTGACTTGTCTGGTCCAGACTCGATTTTTTACAGATCGCCGCCATATAGCTGGAATATTGCTCAATCATTCAATGACAAAACTTGTTCACTGACAAATTTGAATAACAGTTCATAGCTATTTCCAAATAATTCTCAATTAATTAACTTAATTAATTATTTAATGTACACAATGCAATTGCTGTTTACATTTGTCATTATGGGTTAAAATACACAGTAGGTCCCAGGTAACCTGTGATCTATTGGTCAGACTTACTGACTGTTCGCCGATAATGTGTCAGATTGCATATAGCATGCACTAGTTTTGTGTAGCCATTCTCTTTTAAATGGCTGAATTATTGCAATGTTAAACAAGAAACAAACATAATTATGTTTGATAGGCATTTAGAGGTTGGTGCAACTTCTTTATTATTCGCACACGACGTTTCTGGGCTGAGGAAGTTTCTGGGATAAAGAAGTTGCACATCCATATCAAGTGTCTTGTATTAACAAACAAACATGATGCAGACGTTAAATGATCTTGAAAGTGAGGGCTGTCTCATATTGGTTACACCCAGAATTAGTTACTCCCACTTCCCCAGCAACCTCATGATTGTCGATATTCTTGGTTGTGTGTCATCGTATCCAGACGGCATGGAGCGTTGATCATGATACTACCCGCTGGAGTCCAAATCTGCCATGATTCAGGGGGGATATTGATGAGCGCGAGGTTAAACAACATCGAGCAGTGTGCGTAAGTTCTTCCAACTCCAAACAAACAGGAACCTATTCATCCCCTTCTTGTGCCGACACTTGATCTGTGCCCAGGCACTCATAATTCAACCACCTTAATGGCAGCAGCGATACCTGGTGGGGGTATTTAAACGAATGTGTGTTACGCGGCGAGAAGAAGCGTATTTGGGCAAAGGTCAAAGGGAGACAACTCAGTGCGGAATAGATGCTGTTGATATGACTCCGGTTTCATTTGCCGCGTATCGACGATTATATGTTTTCATTCAGTTTCATACCTTTGGTGTAATCTGATATCTGAGGCAAAATCAATATAACCTTATGGATATTAGAAGGAGTGCCGTAGATGCATTTAAAACCTCCCCTTTGGCGACAACAAGCGCAGTTTCCCTTGGGACAATAAAGAATTATCTTAGTTCCGTTTATGGTCTAAGGGAAGTAACTGTAAATTTTATTTACCATTTGCTATATATTGGTTATCTCCCTTTTTGACAAGGGACATAACTGCTGGTTCGTTACATGGTTACCTCCCTTTAATTGTCGGCGCACGTCATGTGTGAAGTTCTGAAAGAGACACTGTGTGGAGTTAAGGGAAGGGAGCTAACTCAGGTATAAAACACAATTATGATTACCTCCCTTTGACCAGAAACCAGAAACGCGGTCACGCGTGTGTGAACATTATAACCTCGCTTTGACTGTAAATAAAACCACTTTCAACTAAGATGTGAACTGATCAGGAGCTACGCCCCTTGTCCCAAAGCTGTTTTGGAAATGATATGAAAACTGAGCAAATCGAGTATATAGTTCCGTTGATGGTCTAAGGGAAGTAACTGTAAATTTTGTTTTACATTTTGCTATAAATAGTTATCCCCCTTTCTTGCAAGGGACATTACTGATTAGTTTACATGGTTAGCTCCCTTTAATTGTGGGCACATATCATGTGTGAAGTTCTGAAAGAGACACTGTGTGGAGTTAAGGAAGGGAGCTAACTCAGGTATAAACATAATTGTGATTACCTCCCTTTGACCACGAACAAAAACACAGTTACGACGTCGGAACATGATTACTTCCCTTTGACCGCAAATCAAACCACTTTCAACTGACATATTGTAAAATTGACCAAAGTTTAGTCTGTATTGCAAATGAAAAGTCTCTTTCCTTGAATAGATTGGAATTTGGGTCGGCTTTGTCTTCGAGCATTCAAACTTTGCAAATTAACAGCTGCAGTAAAACCGATGCGTGCTTTTGCTGTTCAATTGGGCAACAAAGGGTGATGCTATCGGTCAACGTCATATTATGAACTGGAAAATAATCTTTCTCTTTCAGAATAAACAGATAACCTGGGTTTACTGTACTGAGATACAATATCAGTAGACCTAACCTTTTATATTGTATTTTCTGTATTGCTTAGGCATGATTGCTTTATATGAAGATATAATATTAAAGTTAACGTGCCTAATTTTACCTGAACTCAAGCTCACAGAAATCAGCTGTACGCACTTCTTCTTCCTATCTACCAGTGATTCAGTCACCATCAACTGAACTGCTGCAATGGTCCGATGAACATTTATCTGAAAATGAGATTGTATTATTATTTTTTTATTGACGTATTCCAATATCGAGTTATTTTTATTTATAGCATTTACTGCAGGTACTATTTGGTATATATTTGAGTGCTGTTGTCCGCTTTGGACAAAGTATGTTCTATATCTATAGGCGCTTCACGTCATGATGGAAGTATGGTGTCTGCTTTAGTAAAGTACGTAACTCCCCAGCCCCAGCCCCATAGTTGTTGGTTTGTTTATATTTGTTATGCATTGTTTTTGGTCTTTTTGTGTGGTTGTATTTTGTTGTTGTTTTGTTTTGTTAATGTTGTATTTGTGTGGGGTTTTGTTTTGTTTTTTGTTTTGGATTTTTATTTTTTTGGTATATTTTTCCCTTTGTTTTGTTTGTTTGGTTTGTTGGGGTTGTTTTGTTTTGGTTGTTTGTTGTCTTTGGGGTTTTTGGTTTTTAGTTTAGGGCGTGTGGTGTTTTTGTTGTTCTTCTTTGGGGGTTTGCTGCTTTTGGGTAGGGTGTGGGTGTTTGCTTTTTGTTGTTGCCGTTTTGTTTTGTTTGTTTCGGGGTTTGTTTTTGGTTTTGTTTTGGGGGTGTTTTTATTGTTGGGGTTTGGGGGTCGAGAGAGGGGTGGGTGTGGTTGTGTTTTTTGCAACTCAACCTGACCATGGTCCTTTCGCCATGTTTCGTTGCCGGAGCATAACCCACCAGTCCGTCAATATTTGTTCAGGCAGGTTTGTATACACATCAGGCATACACAGAACTCTGGTCTTGTGCTTTCCAAAAACCATAAAAACTGCACTTCATTGGCAACAAGTTTGCCTTCAAACGAGCATAGGGGTCGTTTCGTATTTTTAGAGCATTACCTAAGTAGTGTTTCTCATTTCTTTGTATTTTCAAGGTAACTACTGATTTTCTTCCAATTGGGGTGTTTTTTGTTTTTTTGTTTTGACAATTTAAACAAAATCAGTTTCATGTGTCATGAGAACACATTTTACAGTATAAAGTGGTAAATGACATTTCTATATTTGTTTAATTTATGTACTTTTTTAAATGTGGGGTGAGAGACAGAGAGAGATAATGTTTATTTAAGCATCACTTTCTGTACGTAGGGGTTATATGGGGGTGGGGGCTTAATCCCATTTGTCGGTTTTCTTTAGACAGTAGTACACAATAACCACTCAATGGCAAAATGGTTTGTTTGGGTTTTATTTATGGCCTCTGTTATATCAAATGTTTATTTAACATATTTTGGATCAATTGACACGACTATCAATCAAATGTCATGAACATGTATCACGATGAAACACGGTAAAATCAGATCAAAATCAGTCTTATCATCCACTCATACAGAAATCCGAACATTTCTTCACCTTTCATTGCAGGGATACTTTTCATTCATCTCAAATACAATTAACATAAATTTACATGACACCTCATTCCTTTGATAAATTACCAGTCCCTCAAAAATGTTGAAATTTACCAATCCTTCAAGTATGTTTTAAAAATTCATTACCATTTTTTTTGGTCAGTTGAATAAATAGAACTGCATCTTACCCCTCTAAACCCATCGCGATCATTGATACATTTTTGCAACCTCTTGAAACTATTAACCCTTTCTTGTTCCTTGTGAAAAGGTGTGTGTGAAAACGTATTGAACCACGAAATCTTTCGATCAACGTGTAAAACATGTTCGTGAAATTTCAGAATATAAAATGACAACCGTTCAAATGTAATGGCGAAAGACTTTTGAGAAAGAGGCTATACAACGGTGTAGCATAAGTGGGTCACTGTTTGAAGAAACTGATCTAAGAGCGGCGTCAAAATACGATAAGGAGATATTCCTTGTACCACCACCAGTAACCTCCCTTGACATTTTCCACCAGAGGGCACTGCTTGATGGCGTGCACAGCAACGGGACACGCATTTGTCAAGAGAAGTGTCTTCAACAAAAAGGACTGTCAACCAGGTCAAAGAGTTGGAATTTAATGGCGAACTCGTTGTAACAATGCTTTCACTAGTTGTATGTGCCTGTGTATTGGCAACTATACACGTCACAGGAGGTAAGTAGGAAGGGCACCTGCAGAAACTCTAATTTAAATTCTGTGGGCCTGATCGCTTTTGATATTGATCACAGCGTGCAAAGCGATGAAAACCACCCATGCGTGACAAAAAGTCATGTTTTATGTTGATGTATATATAACTGACTGGTTATTTGCATGAGGAATTCGTCTGGCTGTCTTGGATTTGGGTAGAGTCCAGCCTATTTCGTATCAAGGCTCTAGATATTTTTTCAACATCAGGAGTACGTACAGTACAACCAGAAATTATTGAGAATTTAAGATTGTAATTTTTGATATTTTTTTAACTCATTACTCACGTATTAAATGTGAATATTAGCAGAACATAACTCCAGATTCAAAGACAGGTGAACAGTTAGTATTTTGTCAAGTCACCATGGGCAGCAATGCAGTCTTCAATGCGGCGGGGCATACTAGATCTACTGATCAAAGAAGTTAGAAAGTCTTGGTCCATGCTGTCCCAATGTCGGACCACCTCTTCTTTCATTTCAGCAATATTTGTCAGATTTTTCTTATTGACACTTTCCTTCATAAGTCCCCAAACATTTTCTATTGGATTTAGGTCAGGGCTATAGCTTGGCCAATCTAATAATGTCATATTTTGGGTCCGAAACCGGCCTGTGAATGCTTTGAACGATGTTTTTGGTCGTTGTCCTGCTGGAAAATCCAAAAATTTCCCTAAAACACGTGAGCAGATGGAAGTAAATGTCCCTCGAGAATATCTGTGTACCGCTCACTGTTCGTATCCCCTTCAAATACACAGAGGGGCGTTGCCCCTAACACAGATATGCCACCCCACACGTTAAATATCGGACTGTACTTTGGGTGCTGATAAAAAAGGTTTTTCCGTTTGTTTGGTCCAGAATTTCAGTGTATTAGGAAACAGCCACACAGAACTTTCATCTGAGAAAATCACATTGTCCCAGTTAAAATTTCTATGCTGTAAGCACCAGTTCAACCTTCGCTCGTTTTGTTCAGGTTTCATGATCGGTGATGGAATTCTTCGACTTTTCTGCCAACCCATCACATGCAGCTCAGTTCTAATTGTCTCCTTACAGACAGCCACATTTCCTCTATTAATCATATCCAGCCCAACGTTTTTTAAACTCCTTCATTTGTTTTTAGAAACAAGAATACCAAGCCGCCTCCTGTCACCGACAGTCAATTTTCTGGGCCTACCTGCGCCTCCCTGGTGCTCAATGCCATATCCATTTGCAATATTTTTCAAAACACGATAAACAGTGGACAAAGGGATGCCTGTTCTACTTGAAATCACCGTAGCTGATCTGATGTCCTTGTTATAATACTCTAAAATCAACTTCCTCTTCTCTAAATCATCCATACTGAGGATCACTGAGTTGTCTCTCTCTTGAATGAAACCAAGCACTTGATAGCTGGTCAAGGTTGTTGTAGAAATCCAATTAAACATATTCCTAAAATTTTCAATAATTTCTGGTCATACTATATATATATTCCTTATTTTTTCAATATAGGAGTACTGGAAAAACTGAAGAGTACATTTAGAGCACTGAATGGAATTTAATGGGGTATCAGTAATCTTGTGTTTCTTTTCATATATGCACCACAACATTGCTACTCTTGTGTAAACAGGTCAATAAACAATAAAACAATACTTTTTCAGATAAATATGTCTGTAAATGATTTTAAGACTGTACACGATAGCTGTGATGCGTATCTGCTACGTTTTCTAAATTATTTCCTACCATATCATGCATATTTTATATCCGTACATACGCCAATACGGCCCTTATCTGAAGCCCTGCTGTACTGTAGGCAAACTAATCACGGAATTAAAAAACAAATGGAATTACCAAATGTCATCAGGTCATGTGACACACAACTGACAAACCATGGTGGACATTTTCCTTATTAACAAATTACATCAAGTAAAACCTTTATACTGGTGTTTAATTTCACAACATATTTTCCTAAATTCCTGAGGATAAGGCCAACAAGAGATGAAAGCCACAATCAGAAAAATATGGTTAGGGCCTATTGTTATTCCATTTATTTCAGTTTGACATAACGTCAGTATTCCAAATTATCAAATATTCTAAATTTTGTGAAATAATGCACCTACCATGCTGATACATATGAACTTATTTGCAGGCAGCCTATCGGATTCTCTCAGCTACTATGAAGTGATCGACCATGTCAACATTTTCTCGAGGTCGAAACGAAGTGTTGATGATGCGGAAGAGGGTTTAACAAGAGAATTCAGTTTTCATGCTTACAACAGGTAATTTGAAATATAAAAAGATATTTCAAAGCAGATATTCTAAACTTTTCTTCCAGCTGGGGTTGCCATTTGCCACTATTACAGAGGTACAGATAAGCTGCGTACATGCGTAAATTACGCAAATATTTTTGTGAAAACTCAATTCCTATTAAGTCTATTGCGTACGGGTAAGCTTGAATTTTTGTAAATACTCAATAAATTTGATCTTACATGCGTACACACAAAAGAGATAAAATAACTGAGGTATATTGAGAGGTTCTATTTCGGGCACCTGAACTTGACATCTTGCAGCATTTCTGATCGTTTCTCATATAACAGATCAAATACAAATAACAAACACATAAACCAACATTTAAACTTTATTATAGTTTTACAATTTATGGAAAATGGCAAAATACCCAACTGAGTTTGAGTGAGGTGGGTTCAATTTATTTGGTTACTCAAAGGAAAATTAGGATACCCAATTGAGATGAACACAAGCGAGTACATAACTCAATGGCTCAAAATTTATCTGTAGCTCTGCTATTATCATTGTGTTATGGGTTTTCAGACAATTAAGAAGATCCATTGTTGACTTCATTATCAAATATGTGCAATGTCTGTGTCACGCTACGTTGTAGCACAAGTAAACAGTCCTAAAAATGTGACATCCAAAATCCTATGGCCGGAGGATACATAAGGATGATCGTCTCTGCAAAATGGTGTTTTATGATCTGTATACATCTCATGTATACATCCCACATTAATATATTTTTTATTTGACTTGTACTCAATGTACTCGCAATGGGCTGTGGGCAGCTGCAATTTATCAATAATTTCATCAGTCAGTTCATCACTGTAAATCCAAATAAGCTTGTGATGCTGTTGTCTGTTACAGTGTAGACATAGATTTTACTGTTCATGAACAGTTTTTGTATGTTTGTAAAAATATTGTAAAAAAGAAGTATAAGTTCCTTTCAGCAATAATTTAGCTTGTTTAGATATTATTGGTATATTGTGCCAAACTGAATACAATAACAATTCTTTTTCAGAACTTTCACATGTCACCTACGTCCAAGAACTGAGATATTTTCTCCCGGGTTTAAGATCACTGTTATTCATGGAGACAATAGCAGGGAGGTTGTTGGTCTTCAAGAAGGAAACTTCTACACAGGAAATGTTGTTGGTAAGTGTCTGCCAAGTCTAGTGGTGTATACAGCCAGTCCTGAACCCTGTTAACTCTAAGCATGGCCAGATGATCATCACACAAACTATACTTCAAGGTCTGAAGAACATTATCAGTCCAGGTCAAGTGTCTCTATTCTAGACTTGTGACAGTTCAGTATGTAACAGGACTCTGGCATTCTTCTGTGTGTATGTCAATAGGCTGATCTGTTTGTATGCTGTTAGTTTCATCATACTTTTGTAGGTGGATCACAACAGTTTTATCATGTGCACCACAGATACAGTCATCTTTTGTGTTAACTTTCCAATTTTATATGATGAATACCCAAGAACCATTTCCTGTCATAGTTAATTTTGAGCCAGATTTGATTGACACAGTGCCAAAAATATCTGTCAAAAATTACTTTGACAGGTGAAAGAACATTTGTGCTGATTTAATGATAAGGAAGATACAGATTGTGACTATCATTTCTGAGAAGGAAATGGGCCAAGGGTATTTATCACACCAGTAGAGGAATGTCATGCATATGTAACACTGGATCAGTAAAGATGAGGAGAGGACAGACATAGGAGGAACATATTTAACCTGCCCTTTAAATATTATGTTTGGCTCAAAAATGGTCCAAAACTTGTGCATTCAGCAGAACTTCTGCATTTTGATGACATTTTGATATTGTATATCTGGATATAGCACTGAGTTCATTGTTGTTTCACAGGTGTGGAAGATTCAGAAGTGCACGGCTACTTTGAAGGAGAAATGTTCACAGGGACTGTGTTCATGGACGGACAACTGTTTGTCATAGAGGTATGTGTAGTTGATGAGTGAGTGAATATGGTTTCACGCCACTTTTAGCAATATTCCAGCGATATCACGCCGGGGGACACCAGAAATGGGCGTAACATGCAGTTGATGACATCCATCCATACCACATATATCAGCATGATTGATTTGTCGTCAAGGCCCCATGTTTGACAGACAGCAATGTGTAATTACAGCACAATGATAATTTCTTCACAAAATATCAGCATCACGTGGATACATTTTCTTCAATGCAGAAAATTTTAAGGTGGATAGTAAGGTAATTATTGTATTGAATGTTGACCAAACATTGTACATGGGCTGCTTCTGGCTGCTTCATGTCTAGCCATCTGATGCCATGATTGTGGATGAAGTCCCAGTGGTACCTCATTTTGTCTTGTCATCTAAGATTCATGCACTAATATAACTGAGATATTGTTCAAGATGATATTCAACCCAACTCTCTCAAGTTTTTTCAAGGTTTTTAATGAACTAAAAAACGCCACCAAGGGTGGTACATGAGCTATAATATTAAATCATAAAAACAAAAGTTACAAGATGGACAAAGGCAAAAAAGTAATGGTAATTACAACAAAACCAAAAAAGAAACATATTGTGATATAAAAATATACAGAAACGTATCATAATTAAAGAAGTTGTCTTAAATGATGTACAGTATACATACAATTACATCAATTATTGTGCAAGCAAATGCGTATCAGGAGTTTTGGAAACTAATATTTATAAACTTTTTTAATTCATTGAATTTCTTAGTAGATATAAGTTTTTTGAAATTTAACTAGATTTTGCCAAACAAAGTAATAATCTCACTGAATTTGGTTGAGATATTCAGTACCATTTTCACATTTGTTTCCCAGCCTATGTGGCGCCATGTTGATGAAGCTAGCAGACTGAAGTACAGGGGAAGGATGGTTGTGTACAGAGGCTCTGACATCAAGCTGGACTTCAACCAACATGAAGCAAGAAAAAGGTAAAGGGGTGTAAGACGAGTAAAGTGGAACAACAAAGCTAGTGACATTATTACATATGAAATGAGTGCTTTTTTGTTTATAACATGATGAAACCATCAAAGAATATTATGCTGGCCATTGTTGCCTCATTATCAATCTCTCCTTCATTACAGTGTTACATGTATTACTAAGCTGCTTTGTGTTTCAGGGGGACATTTTGTGGGTCTGTCCATGCAGAGGATGAGGCTGACCCTGAGGATGCCCAGAAACCACCTACATCTCACAAAGGTTGGTACCTCCATGGGAATTCCATGTTAGAATAGGTCCCCTAAATTGTTTGCCAAAATTGATCTAAAAGTTTTGACAAGTTTCAACACCAAAAATAGCATGTTGACAATTCCATTTCAGATATTCCATTTAGTTCTGTAATTGCATTACTTTTTATTATAATAGTGAAAAGTTTATGCACACCAGTCTAAACTTTTTAATAGAAAATACAGACTGTCATGATCTTATGAAGATCACTTGCACACTGGTCAAAAGGTTGGCCTGGGTGCATTTTTTAGCAGGATGCTTAATGCAACACAAATGTTGATCTTATGATAAGTAGATGGTCATCTAGCAGGAACTTTACAAAGATGAGGTGCCAACATGCCATCTTTGCACAACATTTCTAAAAAGTTAATGCAGATTCATCAGTTTGTGAGTGCTGATGTAAATCAATGGCAATGTTCTTGGCAGTTTATTCCGGCATGATGCATTCTGCACTATTTCCCAAGTTACTTTTATGAATGATATTTTTCACTTTGATGAATTCATGTATAATAGTACATTGGGAAGAGATTATTATGTTTGTGTGTTTTCATATCATAAATGTCATATTAGGAATACAGAGTACCGGTATGTGTTATGTTAACCATAGAATTGCACTTTATATACCTATTATGGTTTTTAGATTGCTAAAACACACTCTGCTAATAATCTCTAATTGTGTCTTGGATCTCCATGTTACTGTTGACTATCTTAAGTGATGATACCTTTGCAGGTTTTGCTGGACGTAGTAAGAGATCCACTCCGAGCTGGAACACTTGTCAGCTTGTAGCTGTAGCCGATTACAGGTTCTACCAGAGGATTGGGGGCAGTGACATTTATACCACAGCATCGTATATGGTTAGTAGTCATTAAACAGATTAGCTCCAAACTACCATATGATCGTGAAGCTGACATAAACACTGAATCACATAGTCACATTCCGGTCACAACAACTTTCATGAATATGTCTCCATTTTACATGTCACTAATTTACAACATCTAGAGTTAAGCTGGATGCTGTCACTAGACATTGGGGCTAAGATGATCCCACGTTACCAGTCAGTGACTCTTCATACTCTCCATCGCCCAACAAAATGGTTGGGGAAAATTTTCTGTGTTTTTATATCCAGTCCATCCTATGAAAATTAAAAAATTGTGTTTTAAATTCTTGGCTTGGAATGTGCAGTGGAGAGGTGTGTTTGGATGAGAGATGTTATTACTGTTCTTGGGGAACATAACACAGAAGGTTGGCACTATATCTCAGGTTAAGGGAGAGAGAATAAAATAATATCAGTATTAGGAAAATGGAAACAATACATTGATATTGCATGATATGATAATTACTTTACAACCAGCAATATATCCAAGCATTACCAAGGCCTCCTCTCACCTTTATTCTGTGTCAGGCTGGTGTGATAGAGAGAGTAGACGCGCTCTACAAGAGTACAGTGTGGAACAGTGCTGGACTCACAGGACTTGGATTTGAGATTGCCTTGGTAAGTAGCAATTTGGGCTCTGTGAATACTTTACCCCTCAGGCAGGTTCAGACTACTTGAGTGCTGGACCAGGGGAGATAACTCACATCTCCACTTCTGCATTGTAGACAAATTTGCATAGAAACGGTAATGTGTCTTGATGCACTTTGACTTAGATGATGCTATGAAAATAAGGTCATTTGTGTGGTCTTTAAGGATGCTTATTAAATGTAATGCTCACTGGTTGCAGGACAAGGTAAGAAGGAGTATCCAGATTTTGTGTGTTAAAAGAAAGTGATTATGCTTAATAGTGCCATAACAGGCAATCTTAAAGTACTTCTTACTTTGTGTTCTGCATGTTTTATTGTTAGATTGTTTGCCTAGTTTCCCTTTGCAGCATCATTTCTGTTGTGTTGCCACTTAATCCATAAATAGACCCGTGAAGATCCGGGTTAAAATTGCTCTTCAGTAACCCATGCTTGTCGTAAGAGGATACTAAAGTGATCAGGTGGTCAGGCTCGCTGACTTGGTTGACACATCATCGTATCCCAGTTGCGTAGAACGATGCTCGTGGTGTCTATCACTGGATTTTCTGGTCCAGACGTGATTATTTACAGACCACCGTCATATAGCCGGAATATTGCTGAATGCGGTGTAAAACTAAACTCACTCACTAATCCATAAATAATGTCTAACAGTGTACAGTCTTCACCCAAGACACCTAACATTGTCCCATATTTCATTATCCCTTGCTAAAGCCTACTCTGATTTAGTAGGCTGTGATTCTCTCTTACAGATGGAGATCTATGTGAGCCCGACTACTGTGACAGGCGATGCTGTACACTTCAACATGGCCAGGTCAAGTTGGGACACACTCAGGCTACTCCAGGTTTGTGATCAAGGGCTTGATCATACACTAAAGAGAATTGAATTTCATATGGCAGCTTTCAAAGTGACTTAGTTTAGGTTTTGGTCACATAAATTTTCCTTTCAGAAATAATAAGGAAGTAAGCCCACTCAATCTCAAACTCGTTCTTAACACATCCCTTCAAAATGGTATGCTAAATCCCTTCATGCTTTTATAGTAAAACAGAGTAGTAGAGGAAATGATTGTCCTGGACCAAGTCCAACAAAAGCCTCTGCAAAGCCTTATTTCCCAAATAAGGCTTTGGTCGGACCCTTAGCTCTTGCTACCATTACCCCTACTGCTTAAAAGTAGTAAAATGTCCCCGGCAGCCACAATTCCCCAAGGGAGAAATAGAAATGTATTGCGCTTCCTCCCAAGGGGAATTGTGTATCACATCACACAAAGTTGCGACGGTGGGATACGAACCCACATGTACAGCTTGCGCAGACTATACATAATGGGCCGCACCACTCAACCGACTGAGCTACCGCGGACTTAGCTGAAGTAGGTCAGTTTAACGGGTATTGTATCACGCACCCACGCATCACGTGCTGTTGACAGGATCAATAGTCCTCTGTCTGGCCCATCAAGTAGTACAAGGTAGGTTCGTCTGATTTTATTTTCATTTTATCTATGTCCACGTGCCGCTATGTCACGTTGACCTCGATGAAACAGTTTAATGTGAATCGCCTATGATCTCTTTGGTGTTCGTAATAAAGGCTTGCTGGGCTTTTTGTATCCCCTGTTCTATGTACTTTTTTTTCTCGTCCTCGCTTATAGCAGACTTACGAGACTTGGATCGAATCTCTTGTTTCATTTTGTCATATTTTGTGAGTTCAGAGAGGATCAAACGAAACTCCTCCTCTGAGATTTTGTTGTCAGTGAGTGCCGCTGAAATACGGTCGCTTACCGTGTTCAGCTTTGCTTCAGCTAGAATTCTAATTTCATCGTGTTTCAACGCCTTACGATGCAGTCTGCGTGATGCAAACTTAAGCACCAACCCTAACACCCCTGTCACCCCAGCTGTTATTTCAAGGCCTAGCACTATAGGTGCGGCCACGATGGTAGCTAATAACCCAACACCTGCCGCCCCTAGTCCCATGCTGGTTGCCATAAGGGTAGTATCAGTCCCGTCCACGGCATTGAAAGCTCTATGGTACTTCTTATATAGTGCTTTCCGCTTGTCGCGGTCTTGTTCTAGTTGACGTTTTACATCGCATAACTGTCTCAAGCGGAACCCGTCTACGGTTTCCAGGGTCTTCACTACTTCATCTATGCCTGGGTACAGTCCCATCCTATAATATATATTACGAAAGATATTTTAATTGGGTTTCAGTTAATAGCCGATCCGGGTATACTATTCTGGTACTAGTTCAGGGATATAGCTCAATCCCATAATATATTTTAATTGGGTTTCATTTAACCTTCGATTAATGTACTTAAAACCGATAATACTTAGATTAACGTGCGTGTAAAAAAGCGGGGTCTTAGCTCTACGCCCATTAAGGAGACGAACCCCATCAAGGGTTGGTACAGGGTCATTTTCCGATACCTTAATAATACAACAACGTTGGTTATTACACCTGGCTTCCCAACCTATCACCATATCATCTATAATGTTAATATACCTTGTAGTCAAACTTATATCCCCGAGATAGACGTCTATGATGAATGTGAAGTTTTCCGCGACATTTCTAAAAACCTCTTGGTAATCGAGTAATTTGATCTCTGTCTTCACCGTCCCACTGGAAGCTAACATGTTGCCCGAGTGGCCTGGTATTGGTATGACTTGTACACTAGATTCCGGAACGAACGATCCTATAATCATGCCGTTGTTCCTAATCTCGGAGATAGTATTATTTTGTTTCAAGGAGATATAAGGTGCGGTGAGGGTTAAGTTGAGTAACCATTCAGGCTCTTTAAAATCTGATAACGACACCCGCCTATACACGTTGTCTTTCAAGTGTAGGATGTATAAGGTGCCTTCCTCACCAGGCTGGTCGAATCCCTCCGTGTCCCCTAGATCGTTAAGTGTAGTGTTGGGGTGAAGCCAAGACATTGCTATAATACTATTACGATATTATTTCCAACTGGTTTTCTGATAATAGTTCAGGGGTGCACTTCACCCCCATGAAGTGTATGTTGTCGGGTAGGAATATCTTGGTTAGTGATATAGTGTCTTCCACGACCACGGTGACACCCTGCAGACTGGTTTTGGAGTCGACACCCACCCGCACGTAAACGTTGCAAACGTTATACTGGTGTTGTTTCCCCCACCGCAGTTTGACCCCCTTCACGATCTCTACATCATCCCGCGATGGTTCCCCTAGGTAGACTTGGATGATCAGTGTTGAGTTCGCCGGTAGACTCTCAGGATCTTGACCACGAATTCAGACACCAACTGCAATACCACGTTTTGCATGCCCGCTTTACTCGATAGCATGTGGGCTGCCATACTGGCGAGTGGGCTGATGACTACGCTTCGTCTCTGAGTCGGGATGTAAGCCACGAGCAGGGTTCCGTTGTTCACGCGACTTTATTTAGGTGGTTGTCTTTGTTATCCGTAAACACGTAGGGGAGCCGAGCCTAATATTGAGAAACCAGTCGGCTTTATCGGGTAATAACACCCACTTGTCTTCATCGGTGAAGACGAGTATATGGTTTGTTTCGGGCGACGGTAGTGCTCTCAACATCGGTTAAGTCGAACAGTTTGCCCCCGAACGATGGGTATATTATCCAGTTATCATCACCGGTGTTGACAAGGGTGTACTTAGTGTTGACTGCCGCTCTTGTGGTATCTACTATATCACTTAGGTTGCTAGTACCATTGGAGGGACTTCAACGTTTTGTAAATGCTGTTTTAAGTTGCAAAGGCGTACACTTTACCATCTACTCCGGGGTCGTCGAATCCGCGTGTGTCCCCGAGGTCGGAGATCCCTACATTGATGCATTTTTTCAACTTCATTCCAGGACCTTGTGCGCTGGTCATTTTATATGCAGCGTTACGCTGAGGTATCCTATATTCACGAGATTATGATTTATATCTAACACCGATATTATCAACTCAGGGATGTTGCCCTGGGTTAACCTCTTATACTGCCGCGGTGAAAACGACTCGGTTCTGCCGTCGTTGTATTTCTCCGTTTTCACCGGTACGGCTCTCAGTATAGTGGAAGGGTGACCCCCTTGAATGTTGTCCGTTGTGCTAACCTGGTTGAGATGAATGCACAGCTCTCGGTACGGTACTAGGTCGGGTAACTTCATGCCTGTGGCGGTAGTCGTTGGTTTTATATCGTCATGCTGTATACCGAGTGTCCTCGCCAATGGTCGACCGAGCCTCAAGGAGTTTCTTCCGTTGTTGATTAACACCACTGTACCGTTTGAGTCGTTCATCTTGAGTTCGGCTCCCAGGGGTTTGAAGACCTCGTCGCTTAGAGAGCACACGCTGTAGTAACCATCAATTATCTTGTTGCTAGCGCCACCTACGATCAGTTTATTGTTGCTAGCGTTGATGTTAGTCCATCGTGGTAGGTAGGTGATATCGCACAGTGCGACTTCGAGTTGACCCGACGTGTTATCGATCGCGTGCGTCAGCTGAACGGCCTTGCCGCTCGTTATTCCTGGAAGTGTTATGTACATGTTAGAGTATATATGCTCATTATATAATAGTTTTAAAATGTACAAGCCGGGAGTGTTTTATCCTAAACAGGACGTAGATTTCTCCCACATTAAGATCGTAGTCGCTGATGGGGGGTATTTCGACTACCGGCCTATAAATGTGTTCGACCAGTATAAACTTTCGGCGACTAGCGTCAAGGCAGTACACGCTTGGTTCAACAACCCGATGCAGTTCTGGCAGAATCAACTCAACTTCGCCGTGTGGTGCGCTACAACGGGGTGTGGTGTGACATTGACCGACACTCGGCGTGGCCCACTGAGTCAGTCTGTGTTCACGTTCCACGTATACTACCAGGTCAGGCGTATCCTCAAAGAGATCAGCGCCCCGCTCCCACAGGAAAAGGCGTGGAATGCAGTAAACAACCAGTACGATAGACGGGCCTACGAACGTATTTGCAACGAATTCGAACTAAACACGAAGACGGATTGGCGTTTGCCGGGACCGAACCACGGGTTGGGTATCCCCATCGTTCACAATATGCCCCTCGTGGAAGCCAGCGAGAAGTTGAAGGAATGGGGATACAAGTCGTATCATCACCTCACAACGAACGAGTGGGATGACCGTTACATGGCTTTTCGACAACAGTAAGGATTACAGAGTCTGGAGGTTCGAGCAGGGGCAGCGGATGACTGGAAAAAGTTCATGCTGGACACGTCGAGAGGGTTCACTTCGTGCGGGGTAATCAGGTTAAGCGACTCAATTGAACGTGCGTGTGAGGCTGTTGGGTGCGCAGACGCAAACGCTTCCATATCCTAGGCAAGGGGACTGCTTACGGCGGCTCAGAAACAGTTAGTTGTCAACGTTGAGGATGCTATCAATGCTCCAGTTGATCTCCCGAGTGCCATCAAACACTACCAAGGCGTGTTGGAATACGCCAGGTCGAAAGTCGACTACGTGTTCGGCGTGGGACTGTACATGGCTCCGAGTGATATGCAACTGAGAGTAAAAAAAGTGGTGGGCTACAACAACGAAATAGTCATAGCCACGGCGGGTCAAAAGTTGGGCGTCAACCTCGATGTCAACGTCCCCCACGTCCCACCACCCACGACCGGTGAAACGGGTATAGTGGCGCCACCCCCGGAGCCTAGGATTCAACCAACACCCCCTGTGGGGGTGACCCCACACGTTCAGCAGCACATCGATCGTAAAACAGCTATGGTGGTTGGCGGGGTCGCTGTCGGGTTGGGGCTCATTTGGTTAAAAATTCCTTAGCCGCTCGTTACACCAAACCCACCACGGCTACGATGGCTGCCCACAGGTTTTGACTAAGCCACGTGGCAGTTTTAGCCAGAGCGCTCAGCAA